AGCAGCAGTGAGAGTGAGTGCAGGAGATAACCCCATATGGTGCTTGTGTTCCACTGCAGATAAATCCAGCTGCTGGAGGAAAAGCCTCCTGACAAAGATCTCATCAATGATCACCACTGCATTTACAAGTCTCCTGTAATCCCCAAAGGCTCCCAGTTGTGACCTTTGTTCTTTTAGGTGTTTTTTTGTAAATTCCACGATGGGTTTTTTAAAAAATAGATTAATTTTCCATTCTTCCTTACTGACATCAAACAAGAAATCCTATTATTATTTAGGGAAGAATCCTCCACTTTTGGCTTTACAGATTAAAATTTGTGGTGATGTTTGTCAACAGCATGGCAAGGCATAATTAATTGTTGCCTCTGTGGATTAGAAAATCTGAGAAAATTTTCAGTAACTGGGTTTTCTGTTTGAAATACTGTACTCAAAGACTATAAAACTCAAGAGACAATCATCATCTCTAAGTTTCTGGGCATCAGCTATTTTTTCTCTTTATTCCATTTTTAATAGATAATGGGTTCAAAGAAGTGCTACTTCCAATATACACACAGTTCTAGAAAGAAAAGTCTTTAATGGACATTGTAAGTGAGACTGACAGTTTGAAAAGAGTGCAACTTGTTTTGATGAAGATTCTCAGTTGCATTTCCCTGAAAGTGTCTACTCTTTTTTCTCTGTCTACTAATTTTTTGAAGAGGAAAGAGATGATGAACAAAACCTTATTTAAAATGAAAGAGGCATAAAAAGAATCAACTTTTTTATGTATCATCACTTGCCTTTTACAAAAACAAAACAAAACAAAAGTCCACCACTAAGTGACAAGTAAATGTCCTATTAGTTTCTTTACTGTGGCTATAAATTAAAGGGGGGAAAAATTAAGCCACTGAATTTTTGTCTACTAAAAGGTTAACAACTGTGCTTTTGATATATTACTGAAACACATTAAGATAGAAATCAAGTTGGAGTCATATATTTTACAAAATATTTCCATTTAATCACACGAGCAGGACTTGTAAATAACAGAGCTCAAAGCTTTGGAGCAGATGGTCTTTCTGTTTTAATTCTTCATCTGATCTGCTGTATGCCAGTAAATCTCTGAGTTTCATTTGCTTTATTCAAATCCCTTGGCTATTCAGGACACATTGTGTCAAAGTGTTCTGCTATGGAATTTCAGTTGTTTTATACATCCCTAAACTAAAATAAAACATATGTATATTTTGCCTACACAAGGAAAAATATGATAAAAACCACAAGACTGAAAAAATATATTCTTTCCAGGTGACCTATTTAAATACTATATATATGTATATGAATACATACCAAATTAATAGGCCAGACTTCAAAAAATGCTTACTAGAAATTTAAATGTAAAAATAGTTCTAACTATGCTGACAATCTTTCTCTATGTCAATTTTAACCCATCATTTAATAAATATATTTTACCAAATTAGGATTCAATTGGTTTAACTTCACTGCTACTAATCACTTGCACTAACATTATCAAAGCATTGCACAGAGCTGCGCCAGGCTCACTTTGGCTGACTCTTTATATTTAATAATATTGTTTATAAAGGATATAGTTCTACATTCCCGTGTAACATGAAAGACATAAACTCTTTTTGAAAACTCTGCGGAGTCATAAAGCAGGCTTGAAAAAAACACATCTGCCTGACATCTTCCTTTTCCAAATGTGACTGTAAAACTGCAGAGATGCACATCACCTAATACTGAGTTACCTGGAGACGTGTGTCCAAAGGCATCTTTCCTTTCTCATTTGAACAATTTGTTCAGGAATGAAATCATATGACCCTAAGACTCACTGGTACTGTGCGCATTCCTATATATATCTTGAGATTTTCAAAGATATTCTCTTAAGTTAGGTGCCTGAAATCCACAGATGGACTTATTGATAAATGCATTACCCCCAGATGTGTTTGGATTAGGTCAGTGGAATTCAGATGGAAAAGGGAAAAAGTAAGAATTGCAAGACACAGCTTTTTTCGTTCAAAAGAGCACTTTTGCTGGTAAAAACAATTTGTATTTTCTTTTCTTTTTTTTTGAAGCAGTTGTTTTGATAACACAAGCCACAAAGCAGCCTATTTGTTTGATTACATCCAAATATTTTTAGCGTTTACTACGGAATGACATGATAACTGCGATAACAGCTTTTGAAAGGAAAAGATAAAATCTGGGTTACATGTGAGCACTGATGGACAGGAATCTCAGCCATGGAGGAAAAATAGTTTTGTCCTACTTTCTGAGCAGATGCGAATTAGAGAGAGAATGAGCAACTTCCAATTTTAGGTCAATATTTTCACCCAGTGAGAATTCAGGAAAACATATAATCCTTTGGGACGCAGCAGTTGTGTCCATGGAGGCAAAAAGGCAAAGATGTGTAACCCTTGACACTTTAGTAAACTAAAACCAGTTGCCATTGTTTATATACTAATTAAAATAAGAAAACTATAGGGTGCAAGGCTATGCTATGTCTCACGGGCTCTGAAACTGCTTCAGCTTTCCAGTTGCTCAGGTTTTAGTGCACAGAGGTGCATGAATCTCTGTCCATTCATTCAGTCACCCACCTTTCAGCCCATCTTTCTGTCCAGCTACCTATGACAAACAAAGAGCAAATATACTTACAACCTCTTTATTCATGAATAATGAAGGACAAAATGAAATATCAAAGCTATGTTGACTATTTAATTATTTTTGTAAATATATCTTATTCATCTAGAAAAAATAGTTTAAAGTCATTCTAAGAATGCAATTAATGCCTTATTGACAGGGAAGGGATCTCAGTGGTTTTACAGCCACAAAATGTCCATGTACTTCAATAAAAATCCATTCTGTAGTTTTTGTAAACTCAGCTAAGTTTGCCTTTGTTTACTTGTTGCATAAGCAAAGCTCTCTTGTGTTTCAGTGGAAGAACAAAACCAGTAAATTGTGTTAGCTAAGAGAGAATGAAGGTGAAAACGTTGCATATCTGAAAAAAAAATCCCTCTGGCCAGTAAGACTACGTCTATGCAATAGTGATTTGAAAACTTACTACTTATAATTTCCTTGGGAAGTGGGTAGGTTTTTCTGTTCCCTACTTTTCTGTGCACTGCTAACAGCCTTGAATCAAAATGAGATGAAGCACATTGGAAATGCCAAGAAACTAAGCAAAAAGTCCATTGCAAGCTTTTAAAATAACCTGTGGCTATTCAGTGCTGATCTCAATGACTGGCTAACTTGGTGCACCAGGAGACTTTGATAAACAAAGTTCCAGTTTTCCTTGTGCTTAGGGAAATCATTGCAGTGTTTGACCTGACTGTTATGTCAGGCACTTATCCAAAAATGACTGCCACCTTGGAAGTTATTGCCAGCCTTAGCTATAAATGTCATTGGTTTCTTGGGTCAAATCAAAACCTTCTTATGCTGTTACAAACAGATAATGCATTTCCTGAGGATGCACAGAATGGGCAATATTTCATTTAAAAATCTGGATAAAGCTTGCAACAGATAGCTTAACTGTAATATAAGATATTAGTTCAGGTTATCTCTGACAAGATATAAGGATTTGGATCTTCCTTGGAGCAGCATCATAGGAAGGAAGAGAAACTGAATCAGTGATGGCGTTGAAAGGAGAAGAGGGAAAGCAGATGGTATTTCAAACCCAGTAGGTGCATATGATATAAGGATTTTTTTTTTTTTTTTCACCCCAGAGACGCTGGTAGTGCTTTATAAGGAAGAGCTACTGTTGACGAAGGACTTCATTTAATCTTTTCATTAACCAGAGCAAGGACAGCTGACCACGCTGTGCTCGTGGCAGCAGTGTCTGATACCTCTGCAGAGGGCTTGGAGCTGGTGAAAGGCGCCTCGAGCTAAAGGCACGACAGCCTGTGCTGGGCAGGTGAGCGCTGCCTGCGCTCCCGCGCACACCGACACCTCCCCGGACCTGATGCATCCAACTTTCCTCTTGTTTCTCCGCACAAGTGCCGGCGCCCGCCGGGCTCGCCCAGCTCCTTCCCGTCTGAGGGGAGGAGGTCTGGCTGGGGGTTAAAGTGACGTTCGTGTGGGGCAGGACTGTGCCCCCCGGTCCCCGGGCACAGTCCTGCCCCACACAGAGCAGGGCAGGCAGGGCAGTGCAGGCAGGGCAGGGCAGGGCCCCCGCCCGTCTCCGCGGGGCTGCCGGAGCTCCCTCCACCGCGGGACCGAGCCGGGGGCTCTGCCGGGGCCGGGAATGTCCCGGCTCCTGTGTCGGCGGGGCCCCGAGGGACAGCGGGACAGTGGGCAGGGGCTGGCAGCCCCCGAGCACAGCCCTCTGCCGAGCCCCGGGACCGCGCCGGGCGAGCGCGGGACCTGCCGGCTGAAGGCGTGTGGAAGTGGGGGAGAGGCGCCTGCTCCTGCTGCTGATCTCCTACGGGGCTCGCCCAAAATGCGTGTTACCTGCGCTTAATTAGTATTGCACAGCATCTCTGTCCCCGTCTGCTTACACCGTGCTCTGCCGCCTGGTCCCTATAGGTACATACAGTCTATAGGCACACGCGCGTAGTGCTGCATCCTCTACACCCCTGGCCAGCCTTCATTCATATTTACGCCGCGACTAAATATTCGATCAAAGGTTGAACGCTAACGCAGATCGGTTATATTTTTAATGTACGACCCTTAAAATAGACTGTTTTGTAAACTGCGAGTGTCTAAAGATGTTCAGCGCAGCCTCCCCCGGTCGCGCAGCCTCCCCCCCAGTAGTAATAATGCTGCAGATTGTAGAAGGATTTGAGTCTGCAGCCAGAGAGAAAGGGATTAGGGCGAGAGCACTGGAAGTTAAATTGTGCTGCATATAAAAAATGGGCGGATTGGTCTCTAGATGAGAGCTTGGTACCACCTTCCTTTCTAAAATAAAATCTCTCTGGCATGAAGTCACAGCCTATTTCACATCCGGTTTACCCTGGGACGTATTACTACTGTCTTGGTAAAGAGAAAGCTTTTGTTGTATAGCGGCGGTCGGAATATTGGGAAGAGAAATTCGGGTGCTGAGCCCGGAGGAGCGGAGCAGCGGCGGCGATGGCCGAGGCGGAGTGAGCGGCGGAGCCGGAGCCGCGCAGCCTCCGCGCCGGCGGGCGGGCACCCGGCAGGGCAGCGCCGGGCAGCGGCGCCGCGGACCCGCGCCCGAGGGCTCCGCTGAGGGCTCCGGTAAGGGCGGCTGCTGGCTCGCACCCCCGGGCACACGCGGACACACGCGGGCACACACGGACACACGGACACACACGGACACACGCCCGCACCCCTCCGGGCGCTCCCGGCTGCGGGCACGGCGTCCAGGCGCGCGGGCGGCTCCTCTCCTCTCTGTCCGCAGGTACCGCCGGATCGGGGTGATTTTTTCCCTCTATCCCTTCAGCTTGAAAATCCGCAGCGATCGATGGGCATTGTCAATTATCTTATTTATTTATTTATTGGCGCGGACTGATTTCCGCCGGTCCCTCGCAGAAGGGTTTTGGGTTTGGGTTTTTCCCTCCCGCGGGCGCGGTGGGAGGGGTGGATGCTCCGGGCCGGGGGATGCAAAGTTGAAATGCCGGGAGGAAAACAAGTCTCGATTTAAGCCTCCGAGAGGAGCAAATCTCTCACAGTGAGTCAAAATGCATCCAAATGCCCCTCTTTTACCCTCGATTTTGTTTTTAGCAGTCACCCCCCCCCCCCCCCCCTCTTTTTTTTTTTTTTTTTCCCTTCCAGTGGGCGCTGCTGAAAAGCTCCCAGAAGCGTGGCTCTTGCTCCCATTTTGAATGGGAGAACCGGCGCTGGTTTCTCAGGCGGTGCGGGTAGGGGAGGCCGGGGGCTGCCGGGCTTCAGTGCTCATTCAAAGCCTTAATTAATATTTGCTTTTTCCAGCTGCAAGAAACTTTCCTTCTTCGGGATTTATTGTGCCTGGATGGGTTTATCGAAGCAGGGGGTGGTGTTGGGAGAAGGGGAGCAAGCGTGGAGCTCAACAGATCAAAATAGTTCAGAATAATTTACTTTCCATTCTTCATCTCGAGGAGCCTTCTGCAAAGGCAGAAGTTGGCAGGACCGGGAGAAGGTGATTTTTGAAGCCACAGATGTTGTCTTTCCCTTTGTAAAGGGGCTGATTACAGGGCAAGTTAGGATGCAGTGTCGTCCCTGAAGATCTTTATCCACACTTTCCTGCCACAGCCAGCTCCTTCCTATCCAGTTAGATTAGCTCAGCCCCATCCAATGCATATCTGCCGATCATTTGGCTATAAATGCATTAACTATATCTCATTGCTCACATACTGCTTTGTAACCCTATTTTATTGATTTAAATTGTCCCTGAGAGTGTGCACTGAATTGGGGGAGCTTTATTTAAAGCTACAATAACATTTCTGTGTACAGCGCTTCATTTTCTCAGGCACGTAAAAACCCCTCCAATTCACTGCTGGGGGAAAAGAGAGGCTTCGTATTTGTTAACCTTATTTATGTAATGAATCCTAAAAATCGACTGTATTCCAGCACACTTTGAATTGGTATGTAAAGGGACCTGCAACCTCTCCTGGGCAATTAGTTGAGTCTGCAGCACTGATGCCACAAATATCAGCTAAGTTTTTACTTTATCGTTTATTAGAAAGCAGAAGAAACTTTCTGAGTTGTGTTACTTTTTACTCAAAGGTAAACTGAGAGTAACTCAGTGAAGTCTGTAGAGCACAGGAGGTGTTTGGAGAGGAGGAGAAGGCTGCTAATGCAGAATTCAGACTGGTAGGGATTTAGGAGATAGTGTGTAGGTTGTCAGCACATGGTTTCATTATGAATTGTGCCCTTTAGCCCTGAAGTGTGCCTATGTAGCAGCAGATCATAGAGTTAGAATCTGATCATTTTAGTCCTTTTCTGATGCTGCATTTCAGGAAAGAGGAGGATTGTTTTATCTCTAGAAGAAAGTTGCTTCCATCACATCAAAGCAGAGCAGTGGTTGTGAGGCAAGCACCACTCTCCTCAGTCACACTACCACACTCTGACACTTTCCCAGAGGTTTGGAAGGACTTGGGATGGTTCAAGTCAAACAAAAAAGGCAATTACACTTGGTTATCTGGAGATGCAATGAAGGTGCCTTGACACATTTTCAACCCAGGGGGAAATTGAGTAAGAATTGCCACAGGGTTTGGGGACAGCAGCTCTTACTTGCAATTGTTTTTGCTAAAGTTCAAGAGTAATGCATAAAGAATACACCCTTAGCATGAAATAAACTCTATCCTTGGTCTGTGGGTCTAAAAGTAAAAGGTAACCAGGAGAGCAGCCAAGGCCATACATCCTTATTCAGAATGGCATCAGCTCTGCTGTTGTGAGGTCATTGCCTGACATCAAATTATTCTGCAGAAGTTTCCAATGTCAGATTTTTTCCCCTAATACCTGTTTTAATGTGGGGGATGTTAATGGTTGTTTTCCTTCTAGTTCCAGAGTCCACCATGAAGAGATTCCTGGTGCTTTGTGACTGCCTCTGGGCCTGGAGCCTCCTCCTGAATGCACTGACTGAAAGAAGGTGGGGAGATATTTTTTAATGCACCAACATATTTTAGGAGACTTTAATTTAATGTAGCAGCATAAAACAAATACTGCATGGACTGCACTACCACTAAGTGTATTGGAGGAAGTTAATCCCTGTTCAAGTCCCACCTAAATCTAAGTGAAGTTTAAAAGAAAACTACAATTTGTTTGCATGAAACTTTTTTGTTCAATATAGTGAAGAGAATAAGCAAAAGCTTTCTGAAACAAATTGAAACTAATCTACCTCTTAAACACCTGTGTATTTTTTTCTATTCTTATATAATGACTACTCAGAAATACAAGTTTCTTCAGAGGGGGAAAAAAGTATAATAAAGGGTTATTTTGAATCTAATTTAAGTGCTTTCTGTAACTTTATTGTGCCTGCAAACAGAGGCATAATTTGACTTTGTCAGTCAGGACTGTGTGCTAACTTAGTAGTTGTATTGAAAATCTGAAGTAGACCTTCCTGCTGAAAGGAGACTGCTTGCATGAAGAAGAATTTATAAGCTCAAAGTCCATGACAGTTATGTTTGAAACACCATTCTGCACTGAGTATTTGTGGAATATTTGTTGAAATCATAATCTAAAAATAACACTAAGAATAATTTGTCATCATACAACACCTCATCAAACAACTAGTATCTTAACTATAGACTGTAAAGCAGTTTGGAGTATGCTTGAAGTGCTGCCTGCAATTCAGAATTCAGTGGAGACATTTAAGAAGACTCTCAGATGTATTTTTGTATTATAAAAAAACATTAATGTGCTTGTCAATGATGCTACCTAATGACCAGAAAGCAGTAGAATATTTTTATTGTCAATAGTGATCTCTAAAAGATCTATTTGTGCCTTGATCTACACAGTGTCTTCTTATGCATTCACAGTGCTAGAGGAACTTATTTTCTGACTGCCTTGAAGATTTTAAATTTGTGTGGAGTGGTAATGGGAAAGGTTCATCTGCACAAGCATTTCCTTAAAAAAAAATAAGAGTGGGTGATTCATATAACAGTACTTTATCAAAAAATATTTTAGGAAAAAAAACCCTTTTATTTTTATAATATATTAAGATTTGAAGTATTCCTGAAGTGCTTCATCTGACCTGGCTAGAGAATTTTGTGAAAACATCCTTATTCTATAGATATTTGCACATATATCTATGAACATACATTTATTGTAGCTGTAATGGGTGCATGTGCATTGTTAATGTGAGAATTAAAGCACATTGGACCAGAGTTTAAACATCCAGTGGTGTGTCAGGAATATAATGACCTGTAGATGGAGTCCGTGCACAGTTTTTTATGAGACTGGGCTTTAACGTGAAAACACAATTGCATGCAGTAATTTTTTCTTCAAAATGTACACACCTTACACGAAGTAGATTTGGGTTTAAAGCCATTTCGTCATTGTCAGTTATCTTGCTTTCCCTCTGGAGTGCTGGTAATGCTTTGTGACAAAAAACAACTGATAAATTAGATAAAGTGTCTAATACAAAAAGACAGCCTTCCCATGCCACTCTTGCTGTCATGAAAAAGCCCTGCAATAGGACTATCTTAATATATGTGTTTTGAATGAAAAGTCACAATCCCTCTGCAGTTACAGTTCACTCCATCTGCGCACAAATGCTCAGAATGTTCCTGTGTGCCCACGTCAGTTAAACCTCATGGTGCTTTTACCTTGGCTAAGATGGTGGGAAGAACAGGTGAGGGCACTGGCAAATGGGACTTCCACATGGGAGTGGGGCACAACTGCACTGCCTCCAGCTCATCTTCCTGATGCCTCCTCACAAACATACTCATTTATTTATCATTAACGTTTCTGAAGAGGTTTTGTATCCTTTTTCCACCTTAATACTGATGACCTTCTGCTATCCTTGAGATATGTATGAAGAGCAGCTTTTTTCCTGACAATGAGTGTTAATATAAAATTTAATCCACTAAAGGTCCTGCGTTGAAATTCTGGGTAAGGTGTATGAGGAAAGATCCTTTAAAAGATAAAATGCTTGCTAAAGACAGCAGGAAAACTTGTTATTTGATAACATAGAGGAAGCATAAAAAATATTGTCTGTGACTTAAAATTCAATTGTAGACATGATCAATAAATATAAATCAACCCTTTTTTTATTAAATGAAGTTGTATGATATTGTTAGAAGAAATTCATACTATTTTTTAAAAAACTGTTAGGTATTTTGCCTTTTCATTAGAAATAATGATTTATATGCATTAAGGTATCCCACCTTATGGAAATTAACAAAAAATTATTAAAACTTCTGTGGATGTCAGTCCTGAAACTGATTTAAATTTGTAGTGTTAAATACTCAAACCTGTGCTGCAAAATAGACTTGGAAGCATTTCCAGGGTACCTGTGTACAGGGTATCCTTCCTCCCCTCTGTATTTGATCCAAGTGGAACGCAAGCGTGGGATACACAAAGGATGTCTGACTGATGCAGCTCACAGAAAAAAACATTTAATGTGTATTTTAACAGAACCTGATCCTTTTGTGTTACATTATATTCCTCCTGAGGGTTTTTGGTGGCTAGAGCTGGAAGGGCTGGTGTCTTACTGATACAGCTCACAGAAAAAACATTTAATGTGTATTTTAACAGAACCTGATCCTTTTGTGTTACATTATATTCCTCCTGAGGGTTTTTGGTGGCTAGAGCCGGAAGGGCTGGCAGGGCACCAAGAGCCACGTACCCCAAACAGAAAGCAGACTGACCAGTGGAGGAGTCACTTCTGTCGCTAGACCTGATCCTAAGGAAGTGTTTGGTGCTGCACTGTTTCCCCAGTTCAGTAATGTGTGCAACAAAATGATGTTTTGGAAAGCAGCACTTTTGCTTTTATCCCTGATGACTCCACATGTTTGTAATGGAAGTCTTCCCAGCACTGAATGAAAAACCGCTGCTGGGTTAGGATTTAAGACAAGTGTAATCTATGATTAAGGGAATCATCTGTGACAGGGTATTAGGTAAAGGTCTCAGATTTAAGAAAAAGGTTGATTCTGGTGTCATCTACAGCAGACAGAAACCATTAAGCCTAAGGATTTCATTCTGATTTGTATTGATGGAAGTAAGATTTTGGTAGCTGAGTTCAAAGAGCTTTATTTTTATCCTTCTTCAAGTAAAATTTCAGGACCTTTGACTGAGTTAGAGATATACACAGGGATCTATAAGGGAAGCTTTATAGACACAAGAGATTTTCATATCAACAGATGGTTTTGTTACGTATTTGAAAGGCAAAGATGGAGATATTTCTCCAAATCTAACTGCTACAGGAAAATGGAAAATAAAGCAAAATTACATCTTAATCTATGAAAATGTACACTCAATCTACTTCTGTATTTAAAAAGAAGAAATATCTATTTTTGTCAGTATGTGTCAGTGTTCGAAATTATTGTATTATTGCTTTGTATGCAAACCGTTTATAGCTATTATGAATTAAATAAATATAGCTATTATGAGTTAAGCACATTACTCTTTGTTGACAAATGAGTATTTTCCTGAGGAAAACACATATTAGCACATTATAAACATTAAGGAGTAATGAGCGAAACATTAAGAAACTGGCATTCCGCGTGCTCAACATTTATGGAGAGGCACTGAATTTTTAAGATTTTAAAATCTTACAATGGAAGGAGAAAATATAAACATGCAAAAACTTAACAGACGACTACAATCTTGTTATACAGAGGAGGTTATGTGACCATAAACCAGTATGAGCGAGATTAAACGGATTTTAGAATTACTGTTTTCTGAGGTTATTGGTGGATTACTGTTTTTAGTGTTAACTGTTGTGTATTTCAGCTATGGACAAACCTCATCACAAGATGAACTTAAAGACAACACCACAGTGTTCACCAGAATATTGGATCGTCTTCTGGATGGCTATGACAACCGCTTGAGACCAGGACTGGGAGGTGTGTTGTATTATGATTTTCAATGTTACATGCTAGATAAAAAGTCAGTTAAAACATTATCATTTTTTTCCATAATATACTCATTTTGATTCTGTATATATATATGCACTTAAAGTTATGCTTATATGTAGCTTTTTTTTCCCCAAAAGCCATGCCTTCCCTGTCTTTTGCATACTTGGTTTTCTCACACTTATACCCAAAAGAAGAAGAAAATGGTTCACAATTCAAGAAGACCTCTGAATGGGTAATGAAACTTTGAATGTATAAAGAATAGAAGGTAAAATAATACAACCTGTGACCTGACAAATGATAAGCTGATGAATGAGGCCTAAATAGGCCTCATATATTTATGACTATTTTCATGAGGATTTGTTTTTTTAAAGTGAAAGTATCAATCTATCCTAGTAGACTGTCTCAGAGCAATTTTTGAGATCATTTTTTCTACTTAGATATGTAAGGATTTGTTTCTTCAACATTTTTTCTTCACAGTTTGATAAAAATGTCTTCTGCTCTCGGTGCTGAATCCAGAGAAAGGCATAAAACCACATAGCAATTATGTCTTTATAAAAACATTGTTACAAAACCTCATCTTCATCAACATCTCTGTGTTCACCCTTTGATTTGTTCTACTGTGACATCGTCCCAAAATGGGGTCTTAAAAGCTTACTGTTCACAAACATAGAGATTCTAAATGGACAAGCACAAATCTGTTATTTCCAGTGCATGGAAGGGTTGGCTTTACTTCTTTCAGACATTCTTTTTCTTTTTTTCTTTTGGACTCTTCAGATAAAATAAAACAGAGTAACCCACCCCACAAAATACAGTTCAGACTGATTTCCTATACTCACTCTCAGAGGAACTGCAATATAAGGGGCTATTACATTAAGAATTCTTCTATCTCCTGTGGATGAAATGGAAGGTAATTAAGTGTAAGGTTATTCTGTGGTTGGAGGCTACCATCCTGCAACTGCTCTTGAATTGTGAGCCAGGCTCTTCAATAAATTGACTTCACTGATTTTGAGGAATGGCTAAAGATAAAATTCTGATTGAAAAGTATTAATTAACACATTTAAAAATGTCTTGGTCTATAAATCTTTGTGTGCAATGTCAGGTAACAGATAACAAAATAAGAGTAATTTTTTACTTTTATCTACCGGTATTATTGCCTGCTTTCTTGTGAACCCTTGACCTAGGGTAGATAAATGTTCCTTTATTCTTTGTTTAATGGAACTGTAGAGTTCAGTCAGCTACTCTATCACAGTAGGCAATAAATAAATGAGACTCTGTAAACTGAGTCTGGTACATGTCTACAAGAAAAATCTGAGCATATGATGATTTCTTGTATGGGTTTTAAAGCTATTATGATTTTTTAAAAAAAGATACTAGAAGGGAAAACAGAGGGAGAAAGGAGGGAAAGGATTTTCTCTCACTCTCTGGTTTGTAGTGTAGAGAACTAAGCATATCAGTATCAACTCCTACGTCTGTGTCTTCATATATATGTTTCTGAATGCAGACTTTAAAGGTGTCTCATGAAAGAATCATCTGGTCCAGTTGAAACTTGCTCCTAACATAAAGGAAATTAATCTCTTCACAAAGTTAAATGGCAATCTGTATGGCTTTTGAAAGCAACAATGCGTGATGGGAAATATGGGGTGGAGGGAAGGATTGGAGTAGATTCTCTAACTAAGGGTTCGAGAAATTTAAATAATCTTTGCATTCTTCCTGTTTTGAGTTGTGTTGCCTGTTCTTGCTTGTAACCAAGAACCTTGAATTTCCAATTTTCCTCCTGCACAGGATATTATATTTTCATGGTGTCAGTTCAGCAAATTTCTCCTTATGTTTGTCAGCTTTGAACACTAGAAATAAGAGTACCGTGGCTTTAAAAAATATCGCACATCTGATTAAATTGTGAGCAGTAATTTAATATTTGAAATCAAGTATAGTATGAAGGAGATGTACTCTTTTGACTATTGAATAAGGCATTATTGAAAAGATATAGATTTCAAAAACTAGGGACAAATACCTAGGCTGATGTTTTCAGTCCTCGTAGCAACTTATAATAAAGGGTGTGCTCAGGAATTTGGAAATTCACATCTTCAAAATCTTCTTCCTAAGGTATCTAAATCTGAGTGAGGCACCTCAGGATGACTCAATTTTGACAGCTAAGTTAGATTCTCGGTATAGTGGGGAAATGTATTCTGAAATGTTCCATGCATAAAAATATCCAGTGACAAATCTAAATCAATATATAAAATATAGCATGTGTTTTGGAGTTAGAAGTTCAGTAGCCTTCCATCATAACATGATTTGATACTGCAAATTTTAAAATGAGTGGAAAAACAGTAGTTTCATTTTTCTTCCCAACATCAATGATGGCTTCTTGTTAAATATTTTGTTCAGTACAAAATTTTTATCCACTCTGAAGCAAAAGTTAAGAAATCTACCAATGTTACAATATTTTTAGATATATAGAATTAGCTCTAAAACTAATTCCTTCTATTTTAGCTGTGTGTCAGCTATTGGAGAATTTAAGAGGCCAGAGACCCTCCTTACATGTTACGTTGATAAATTTCATGCTGTTAGGCACAGTGTACATCTGTGTATAACTGAGTGCATTATAGCACTCTTCCAATCATCCAAAGCTGTCTGTAATATTCTTTCTATACCTTCTGAGAAGCAGCAGCTGAGGTAAAACAATGCCTGGTGCAGTTACTTTATCTTACAGAAAAGGGCACGTTGCAGAAAACTCTGGTTATCCCAGTACAACCTCTCCTCCTGTAGTGCAGGTTTTCAGATCTGTACACCTACAGAAACCAAATTGTGTGCATGAACAGAAACAGAAAAGAGACCAATTTCTCTCTTTCTCACCTATGGAATAAAAAGTAGATGATAGTTCCTTCAGTAAGGTTATTTGTATTTCCTTCTTTGCCATTACGTGTATGTATGAAGAATTCAGTGATGAAAAGCTATCTTTAAAAATTGTGAAAGGGTTTTGATCTTGATCTTGGCTCTACTTATTCAGAGAAGTAAATCCATCCTTTTTGAAATAAACACCATGATATTTTTCAATCCCAAGTTTGCAAACATCCTGTTGGTGTGGTGAACAGTTTTACTGTTTGGTAGAAGTGTTCTGGTGCAGCCAGTGAGGCACCATGAAGCCAAGAACAACCTTCTGGAGAAATCTCATTACAAAGATTCATTGTGGAGCTATTCCGTGTATTCATGGGAAAGCCAGGGTAAAAGGTGGAGCATTAAGATAACGAAAAATTTAGAGGCGTTGAATTTTGAGTCACTCTTTGAGCATGCATAGAGTAAGTACTAAATTACAATTAACTCTGCCCTTGCCTTTTTTTGCATCTTCTTTTGAGGTATTACTTCAAAAGGAAAACTAGAAGTCATATCTGCTCCATAAAGAATATGGGAATGGAAATCATCATCAGATAACCCAAGAAGGCCATATCTGAAGTTAAATGAGAACCTCTGAGCAGTTTGCCATTAAACAAGAGGGAAAGAAAGAAAGAATTATTTCTCATAACCAGAATATTATACAGTGGAGTCGATGACCCACAGGGAAAAAATTAAAGTGATTGACTATGCTTATTATTCAAAAAATGGCATCATTGATAAAATTAATCTGATTATTTTTTAAAAGAGCATGCATCACCATGTTGTGCATTAGCACATTTGCACTTCTTATCAATAATTATTGATATAAATTATGTTATTTACTTGTTTTGCCTCCTTCATATGTGGGCTTAGTCATTTAGGCAGGCACTGCTAGGAAATAGCATCTGTTGTACCCATCCATAAACATGAAAAAATAGTTACATTTAGTTATTTATGCATGGAAAATAGAACTTCCAAAATGAATGTAAAAATGTTGCAAATGATACTAGAGGACACCTATTGACTCTATGAGAGGATAATTATTTACAAAAAGCAAGGAGGAGGATTTGCAGAGAGTAACATTGAAGCTGAGAAGAGGAACTCATGCCAGACATTAGGGGAAAAAAATCCAAGGGAAGTCATTGAGGTAATGGCATAATTGTCTGTGGAAACTACCTGGACTGTAGAACTAGTGGTGATCAAAAATGGCCTAAATAATAAAGATGCTGATCTCTATTCAAATAGCCAGTCCTGAAACAACCAAAGAATCAAACAGAAATAAGAAGTAAAATTCACTTCAGTGTGTAGTGATCTCACCTAGTAATGCACTGTATCTAGAGTCAGAGTTTAAAAAATTGAAGAACAATGAAAAAGGGTGGAAAAAATAAGTTCCTCAGGTAAATTGAGGAATGAAATGCCATGCCCTTTTGTTCGGGGTTGTCTTCATGAGGGGCATAGGGATGATCCCACAGCAAGTTTGCAGCACCACAGTGGAGACAGGGAAGACTTGCTTAGGGCAGGTTTATTTGGTGATGAGATTCATTAACATGAAATCAGGGGCAGCTACAGATTTTCTAAGGCTTTCACCATTTTCATCTCATCTGCCTAAAACTAAAGGATACCACATGCACTGGGACCTTTTAAATCAGAATAAAGGTAAATGTAGGTTATCCCTTTGAAAGGGATTTTGTAGTAGAAAGGTTAATGCAGAACAAACAACAGCGGGTTTGATTTGACAGATCAGAATCTTCCTGAATTAAATTTGGTTTTACTGTTGTGTTGAATGCTCAGTAGATCACCCCAAGTAGATTATCATCTTGAGTATTGAACAGAATTATACTTATTTTATACTGTCAGTAAAAGGTATTTGTTGATGTCTCCTGTGTGATGTTTATCAAGATTGAGTGGGACTGTCCTTAAGTGGAACATCAGTCAATCTCAGGCAATTCATTACTTCCAGGGAGTGGAAGGGTTGGGGAAATGAACCTCACAATATTATGTGAATTAGATTTTAAGTTTCAGTTGTATGAGAACATTTATATATAAGCATATAAATTTCCTCTTGGTTATTGAAGTCCCAATGGAAATTGTTGGATTTAACATATCTGTGCTAATATAAAGTTTAGGGAAAATAAGGGTTGTGTTTGTATGTATCATAAAAAGTTAAACTTAAATTATTCCACCCTAAATGAAAAGACCTCACCCCTACACATTATTTTGTAAGTAAGGAAGGACCAGGTGTTACACTTTGTAAAACTGAAGGGGCTGATTTTGATCTTTTTTTCCACTCTGTAGGCACCAGATTAATGTAAAGACAATTGTAAAAAGCCTTAGAAAATCCTAGAAAAATAGATTTAATACCAGAGTGGGTAGACAGGTAGGATGCGAGCAGCTTTGAGCTGTTAATTGGCACATGCAGGTCCAGGTAATCTCACACAGACTGCAGTGGCTGGTCACAGGACAGCTCACTCTTCTCCCTGTTGGTCTCTACTCTTACTAATGCAGCAGCACAAAATTCCTATGAGTGCATTTGTTGTTGTTCTTCAACCAAAATACCTCACAGGACACAGCTGGGCTGATTAGTCTAAGTGTACACTGCGCAGGTATCACAGTTCCTTTCATTTAAAGCCAGAGGAAATGTCTCCTCCATATTAATAATTATAGCACAGACAGACATGAGACATGCAGAAAGAACAAGTGCATTACCAAAAAATAGAATTAACTTAAACCACCAAAATGTGCAATTCAAATAAACCTTGTGCTCAAATACTGGCAGATCATAAAGGGAAATATTTCCTGTATGGTCTCTTCTGATAAATAGGCTTATTTCCTGCTGTTTAAATAAATCTGTATTCTTATTTTGTTCTCAATTTATAATCCAGTCACAATTCTAGCAATAATGAGATCCCTGGGAGTTTAAATCAAAATATTTATTGTTACTAATTTGGAGTTTACGCTAGTCTAGCATCATTAGCAAAATACAGTATTTGTAAACAGTAAAATTACAGTAGTTGAGGTTGACTGGTGCTTTCGTAGCTGTACCTGGATCAGTTGCCCAAAGCTGTGTTCCACAGTGTCTGGGTGTGGTGCTCAGCTGCTTTTTTGCTGCCCAGTACCTACTTGGACCCTGTGATTGCCTTATAGTCAAACCAGTAAGTCATTATTAATTTCCTTAGGGTTTTTTAGTGAAATTGTTACATGTTCTACAGATATCCTTACATTACTTACTCCTGGTTCATGAGATAGATGTCATAGTCAAGAGACACAGTTATGCATCTTTAGAGCTGCTGGATTTCTCTTCAGCAATCCAGTCAGCTCTGACCCGAGCCTGGTTTGGTCAATGACTAAGACTTTTCTCCAGTTCTCAGAGATATTGTGAAGGTTTTGAATACTGCTCAGGATTTGTGGTTCCTGAAAAAAGCATTCTGAGCATTTGAAACAAAATTTAAGCCTTCCCATGGTAATCAAGATGCAAATTGAACATGGGTAACCTTGATTCTAAATATATATAGCTCAACTGTATTAGTAAACACATGTCCTGTGCAGGGGTGACTCACAACTTCTGAAGCACTTAACTAAGCACAGCTGAATCATCTAATTAGTGAAACAGTAAACAAAAAATTCAAAACTTCCATATGGCTTTGGAGCGAGTAATCTTTCTGTTTTGATACACACTTTTTCATTGGTCTTGAAAGTGAGGCACACACCAAAGAAAAAAAAAATTGGCAGTCTATATATTGGTTTATCTGTATTTGAGGGGATTAGGTGCACTGCCAAAGTGTAATCAGTGTGAAGATAACATAATCTCTTCTGAGTTCACAATCTGAATTTTCTAATTTTCATATGATTTATGTGCCACTCAAATGATATTCAACATTATACATAAATTAAAAAATATCACTTATTTTTTTCCTCCCTTGGAAATCTTCCTTCTTAGTGCAAAAGTCTTAAGTTTCCATTTTGTGTCCTCAAGTGGTTTCCTTAAGCCTCAGCCTCTCTTCCCTGACTACACGTCTCCCAAAGCCAGAACTGAGGATAGCACACCACGACATATGCTGCTGATTCAAAGAGCATATTCTGTGTTTGTGCAGACAAGCCAGCTGAGTTATATTAAATAGAACCTTGCTCAGAGCTGGGACCCTTAAGGGACTCGCCATCCTTCTGTGTTTGAAGAGCTTCTAGAATCTTCTCTCTCCCAAAGTGCCTCAGAGGAAGGAGGACAAGAGGGGTGAGGAGCAAGGATGAAAGATCTTTAAAAGCCATTTGAGATTCACTTTTCAGTATGTAAAATGCTGATAGATTTCAGGATGATATCAGTTTCTCAGTCTTTAGGAAAGGTGATTGGGTAGCTGGAGTGAATTCTGCAGTGTTTTACTGGAGCCTGTGGAACCTCCCTGTCCTTTTCCTGCCCTCTGTTTCCTACATGACCACAGCCTCTTGAACTTCTGTGACAGTGATGGGCTGAAGGACAGAATCCTTTCCTCCCAAGCCAAGTAATTTCTGAGCAACCAATGCCTCTTTCAGTTCCAGAAAGTCAAATTCTCACCACAATCTTCTTTAAGTCCAGAGACAATTAGATATCAAGAAAATACTGAAATTTAAGTAAATTGAAAAGTTTGTAAATAACTATGAGGTCACATATTGATTCAACTATGGCCACCTAAGGAGGAAATTTCACCTATCCAGTGCTTTTCTCAGTAGTCACTGTATTTTGTACACATCTCAGTCACAGATATAAAGAATAAAAATAATATTTAGCAGTTCAGCCACACCACAGTATTTTACTTTTCTTAATTTTGAAAAATACATTGGAAATGTCACCATTTTAATGAGTCCTGAAGATTACTTTTGATACCACCCAATTTTTGCATTAATTTATTAACAGAATATGGTTCATCAACTGCATTCCTAGACCAACTAGTAGAATCAAATCTAATATTACTTTTTGATTTTTGCTCTCTCACAAAAGGACATATTTTGTTGTATCTATACTAGATATTTATAGGAAACTGTTTTCATTTTTATATCTTTAGATATTGCACACTTTTTTTTAAAATGAAAGTGAAAGACCTGCATTTTGGAGCACTGATTCTCATTAGAACTTTTGCACAGATACAGAAATGTATATTGTAACTGGTTGCTTAATCCTGAATCTTTTTTTTACTTCCCTTCAGTCTGAATTTTCTTGTCAGATGGAACAAATTGTATATAAACAGTGCAAAGTCTTTTGAAATCAGATGGTTGTATTAAATTAGTGGGGGTTCATTAATTATTTTACAATATTTAAATAACATTTTACAAATAGCTACACATATATTACTTAGTTTAGGAAAATTTTTGCCTGCTGCGTGTCTGCTTACTAGACATGTACTATAGTGCTTTCTTTAGGATTACTTTTAATATTCCAGATTGCTCAATTTCTTTGTTTTTGAAAGTTATTTCAGAAATGTTATCACTTGTTCCATGTTTGAAAGGTCTACCAAAGCCCCTATGCTGGCTTGTGGAGCACAATAGTAAATGTGTTCAGACTCACATCACAGACTTTGGGAAGCTGATGGGGTTAGCTGCACTCAACACTGCTTGGATTCCTGCCTCCAGGTGGTGTTACTCCCTGCAGCTATATTTAATTCAACAGGGTTCTTGTGATATATGGCATCCTGGGTGAATATTTTGCTATGTGTGCCCTAGAGAACACCAGTGTCCTCTGAAGTGACTGGTCCTGTGTGTTTATGTAGAGGGAGAGGAAAGGAAGGGGGGCAGTTAAGCCTGGGTGTTTCTCGAAATGTTTTCTGCCAGTCCGTCTAGAGAAGTCAGATGTTTGATCTCTTTCTTGAGATCAACACCAATTAAAGCATCTCAAAGCACTTGTACCACTGAAATCACTAGTTTCTTCTGAAATGCCCAATGTCGTTGTGCCATGGAGCAAATGGACATCCTGGAAATCATGGAGGGGTTCAGCTTTATGATGCAGCATATGCATATAATCTGTGTTATGTACATGTTACAGATTTCTGAAGTACTATTTGTACTAATCTATCATTTAGGCTTATGTGACTGAAGAACTTACTTTCTGAAAACATTTACCCAGATGATTTCAGTAGCGAAGCTTAGCTGATATTTATTTGGAAAAGTTTTAACTCCTTTTTGTCTGTTGAAGTAAAGCGTAATTTCTAACTCATACCAATAAAGTATATTCATGTTTGTATACACTGTAGTGTATTCTCTCTCTTTCTTCTGTGTTCTTGGTCTCAATACAAAATGCATAACTTGCAAGCCCAAGGTTAATTATTAGAGATCTTATTTTAGCTTGCCCAGAAACTGAGTACCCCATGAGATATTACAGTACTGTGTACAGTATTCAGCACTGGTTGCAGTGTCAGACAAGATTTATCAGTCAAAGAATGAAAATATTTCCACAACAGCAGAACTGCTTCCACTGCAGCTGCTGTACCTCAAAGAGTTCTCTGGCAAAACTGTAAAAAAAAACCCCATTGACAATATTGACTGTGAAATTACTTCTACAGTAAATTCTCAGGATTGTATTGCAGACCAATTTCAGAATGGCTAATCAAAGCCAATAATTTCTCTATTTATTGTGAAAATTGGTACTGGTTAGATCTAATGAAGGCTGTTTATAGACACTCACTGTCCTAATTTCCTGCTTCACCAGAGCGTGTAACTGAAGTGAAGACTGACATCTTCGTCACCAGTTTTGGGCCTGTTTCAGACCACGATATGGTAAGTGATGGCCTGAATTTCTACAGCACTCATCTTCTCTTGCCTTTTTAGTTTGGAGGATAAAAGATCTATGCAATAACTTATTTACCCCTTTTAAGGCTGGGCTTTCTTTAAGCCCTTGATTTGAAAATGCCGTCAGGTTTTATGTGCTACTGTTCCTGCTGCTGTGACTGCATTTAAGTGCCCTGAAATTAGAAGCCTCAGTGACTTTAATAACGTGTTTTAACAGACTTTATATTTGCTACATAATATATTATGAAATGCATTAGGGTTTGGATCCGTATTCTTCTGAGAGTGATTGCTTAGGTCCTTGCTGGCACATCACTGATCCAATTTGCCAAGAAAGATCATCATCTTAAAATGCAATTAACACTTATGCCTATGGTGTGACATCTGTACAGTCTAACCTGTATTTTTATATTAAAAGCTACTGATCAATGGAAAGTGACTTTCCTAGATCTTGGCTGCTAAAAAGAGAAGATTAATGAGAGAATTAGTGTCACTTCTTTATGGAATGAATATTAAAATCAAATTGCCAGATAACTGCAGGGGATGGAGATGTTCAGAAAACTGAATGAAGATGTTGTGAACCCTGGTCTTAAGAGATACCAAGAGTTGTGTAGCAATATGGATAAAGTGCTTAAAATTTTCCATATAAATGAGGTTTGCACAAGTAGCTGTTGAGAGGAGTAAAGCCTGGTCTGCAGCCACCAGTGTCTGCTGGATGCTGTATGAGGATAAATGCTAGAAACATCCTCCTTAATCTAAATGGAGAAATGAAAGCAGTTCAAACTTGTAGCTGGCTACATTTAGCTAAACACACTTAGCAAAAGAAAGATTCAATGAAAAAAAAAGGAAAAAAGAAGTAGAGGAAAGGGAACAAGTTCCATTTCTGACTACAAAATTGTCAGCTGCTTAATTTGAACTAAAAATGTAGCTAAGCCTTAAACACCAGGATATTACAGGTTTCTGACTACTCAAAACAATGTTAAGGAATAGAAAACCAGAAAAAGTAACTTTTACAAAACTGTTTATTTTTCTAAGTGAACTTTATGAAAAGACATAATTTTTTAATTTCATGGAAAGCAGTACTTATAAAAGTACAGTTAAATTTATAAATGCCATGATACCCATACCATGTTGACTCCTGTTTTTCAGTCATTTAAACAGGAGAAAGAATTCATCATTCTCTTAATAAAATGTGTGACCAAGAAACACAGAGGCAGGTGTTCATATATTTTGAAAACTAAAGAATTCACAGAAAAGTATTTAGTGTAAAACTCCTACTCACCTCCCATAAAAAGTAATGTGTGTGCAGCCCACTCATGTTAAACCTTTGCTTGAGGAACTAGGTGTGAAACCAGAGACAGAAAGATAAATTGAAGGGTTTACCAGAACCCAGAGTTTATATGAATTTCACTACACCATTTTGTGAATTCACATTTCTCTGAGCACAGACAGGTTGGTAGCAGACACGCTCAGCTGGGGCTCCCCTCATCCCCCATGTGCAGCCTGGGCTGAGGGTGTGGGAGGTTTTTGGCAGGCAAGGGGAGGATGTGCTGTGCCTGAGCCTGGGCTGGGGCTGGCCAGGGGCTGCTCCAGCTCACCCTGAGTGTCAGGAAAGCACAGCCACGCTGAGCTGCCAGCACACCTCAGCCTCTGTTTGCAGCAGCCAGGGAGGCACTTGCACGGCTAAGTCAGGGTGCTCCTACCCACCCTCAATACACTCTTCTAAGAGCAGCATGGACATAAGCTCTTTTTCTATAAAGAGATTGTCTTGGCTTGTTCTCATAAATAAAGTTAAATGGGAGAAAAGCTTTTTTTTTTTTTAAATAATTTTTTTTGGAAGAACTTTGCAGGTTTTCAAGCATGCTCACGTGGTGGATTGAACTGAACAAGAGATACCTGGCTATTCTCATACAGACTGTCATTTTTGTGAAAATTTTTGATGTATATTATTTGGAATAAGAAGCATTTCAAAATGAACTTTTTTAGAAAGACAGGATTTTTTTTCTAGTAAACCTTCATTCCCAGTTTTTCTGTACAGTAAGCTTTTTGAGAATGATCTGTCTTGCTGTCTTCTTGTACAGAACCTCATGTAGACCATAGAGTGGTCTACCCTGTGAATAAACCATCTCCAGGGAGAAGTATTAGAAGAGTAAACTAGAGAACATTTAAGTCAAAGTATTATAAATATTCAAAACCATAAAATTTATTCAAAGTGCAAATAGAAATCTTCTTTTGTTAACCTGCATAGTGTGGAATGAACAGTCTGCTGTGGAGAATTTATTCCAAATTCCACCTCACTTATATATGTGCATATGGGCCACTGCTATTGTACATAGTCTAGAGAAAATCCTTCAGCTCCCTTGTTCTGTGTGCTGCTCTGCTGTAGAAAAAAGCCCTAATCAGAGCATCTGATGGCTCGGCCCTAAAGATCAGCTGTCTGTCAGGATTCATTTGAGGAGAATTAATGTACATGCTTAAGTGGGTAGTGTAAGCTGAGAAGCTGAGATATCTCATCCAAAATTAATTCACTCTATATGGTGCGATGACCTGGGATAGGGAAAGATTCAGCCTGTGCCAGGCATGACCTGTCAGCTACTTTTTAATTGAATTTTATCTTATGCTGTCAGGACCCTTATCAAATCTTTCTGACTCCTCGTCCTTTTCCAGCAAATGAACCTTGTGTTTGTATGAAGTGAAAAACCAGACTCTCCTTTCTCAACCTGTACCACCTCCCACTCACCCCCTTTGCAGCTGAAAGAGAAAAAAGGAATGGCTTTCATGCTGAAATGATGTCACCTTCTGGGCATGTCTTTTACCTTTCCCACGTGTGTAGGAGGAAATTTTCTTAGTGCTAGTAAAACATGGAGGAAATCCAAAATTTTAATGATGGATACTGTCTCCTACACCTCCTTCTCTTCTACTCTACTGCACAGCTGGGACAGGATTTGGTCACAATTCAACCTAAGGCCATGACCCAGCAAAATTCTGAAGCAAATAATAGGTTAAAAGTGCAAACTGCTTTCACAGAAGCTGAATAAACTCAGGCTTCAGCAGTTCACTGAGCAAGTGATTAAAAAAATAGAAATACAACTAAGTATGCACACAAATGATTCACAGGTCTGGGATATAAATAAAATTAAATTAAAATTAGATTAAAAATCTACCAAACGAACCCAAAATTAGAACAACCCATGTAACTACATTTCTATGTCAAAAAATGTATTCAGGCATTTCATACCCTAAAAGCAGGAAAAACACACATCAGTAAGAATCACCAGTCTTCCTTGCTAATAGTTGTGCAAGGAATAAACAGCTCAAAAGTGCTTATGTTGTATGGAGTGTTGGTGGTTGTTAAAATGAAAAACACAAATCTAAAGGAATTTCCTGTGGAGACATTTTGCATGCTCCTTCTAGAATGTTTCTGTTCACTGTCATGCTTGCCAGGTCAGCTCTATTCCTTATAGCTCTGTGTGCCTTCACACACAGGAGTTCTCTCTGTTCTAGGATTTGGTATCTCCATTTACAGGGGATCTGAGCAAAGATCCCATTTCTCAGCCAAAAGAGTCCCATTCAGAGTAACTCAGAACACGTTTGGGTAACTGCTTTTGATGTTTATCAAAATATCAAAGATGAAAGGGGCAGGATAATCTCACATTGAACTTCCACATGAGGATGGAATTTTCCCCTGGGGAACGCTGTACTATGCTGCATTCACAGTTTTTCACATTTCCACCCCATCTATATTTTATGTATCATTCCAACGTATCATTCTTATTTTCACCTTCTTCCTCTTGGTTCCTGTTGCTTTGTCACAAATATTTCTTTCATTTCATGGTGAGTGTTGGTTATTCTGGTTGTCCCCATGCCACTGAGTCAGCCGCTGCTCCTCTCCCTCTGGCCCAGCCCCTGTGCAGTCACACTGTCCCTCTTGGCCCAAAGGTGCCCTCAGCTCGTGCTCTTTGTAGCCCAACCATTCACCCAATGAACCATTGCACATCTCACCAGTCAGACCATACAATTTCAGTCAACTGTGACCTTTCTGCAGGTTGATTACAGGTTTGTGCTAACATAAACCTTTAGAGACATTTAGAACAGAAGGCTGTAGTAAGACCCTGCCTCACAAGGCTTATTTTACTCTGACACACATTTCCTGTGCCACACATACTGACCACCTATCAGCAGCTTCAAATTACAGTTCTAGTGGGAATTATTTTTGAATTATATATATATATATAATATATATAATGTATAATATAAAATAATATATAATATAATAATATATATTTCTAATTAGTATATAACAGAGTATAATATATATTATAGTATAATATACATTATATAAAATTATATATATTGTATAATGAATTTTTGAATTATATATATTATATATTATGTATAATATATACTATAATAATATATAATATAATACTATATATTTTATAATTATTATATATCATAGTATATATTATAGTATAATATATATTATATAAAATTATATATATTGTATAATGAATTATTTTGTTTCAATTTTATTATAACTAACTCATGGGCAACTCTTGAAATACTTCCTGATGTTTATTGTTTATTGAGCACAGTAATGGTATATTATAAAATTATATATATTGTATAATTAATTATTTTGTTTCAATTTTATTATATCTAACTCATGGGCAACTCTTGAAATACTTCCTGATGTTTATTGTTTATTGAGCACAGTAATGGTATTGTGTTTAATAACCAGCTTCAGGTACATTGTAAGTAATACAGAAAATAAACATTCTGATAATGAATAATTTAATTAACAGTCATCTTGCTTCTAGGGAATGGTAAGAACACACTTTTCAAGTTCCCTTATTGCAACATATGACATCATAAGTGTTTCCTTTTTTTCTGAATTGATGTAGGAATACACTATAGATGTATTTTTTCGCCAAAGCTGGAAAGATGAGAGATTAAAATTCAAAGGACCTATGACTGTTCTCCGATTAAATAATTTAATGGCCAGCAAAATTTGGACACCTGATACCTTTTTCCACAATGGAAAGAAGTCAGTGGCTCATAACATGACAATGCCAAATAAACTATTACGAATCACAGAGGATGGGACGTTGCTATACACAATGAGGTGAGCCCTAAAATATTACATCCTTCATTTAGTTTTACAATTTAACTTGTGAAAGCATATTTTCCAGATAGGAAACTGGTTCCTTTTTGAGTATAAGTTGATTCCTGCTTAATTATTATTTTCACAATAGGCCTAGGATGATGGGCAAACAGAGCTGTTTGCAGTGTTTATTTTTCCTCTCCTGCTGTGCTACCTCTACAGTCCCTGGATGCATCTTAATGCTTGATTTTAAAAAGATTCTTACAGTATTAGGAATCCATCAGTTTGCAGAGAATCTTGATATGGCATTGCTTTCAAGGATTCCATCAGCAAGTATAATAAAGCCAGAAAGTTTAGTATAATCTGTGCTCCTAAATTGTGTGCAAGGGTCTTTAATCTTTGGATCATATAGAAAGCAGATTCTGAGAACTAACAGATGCACACAGAATTCATTGACCATTCTTAATATTTCTTGTGCTTGGGATTATAAAGCATGACAGCATAAAAATAGACATTTATTTTTCCATTGATTAAAACATTCAGAAAGTTAGGAGAAAAAATTATTTTTGTGCTGACAGCATTCATTGGAAATATATTATTCTCTTCATGGATAACTGAACTTTAGCTGTCCAGTTGTTAGAGGAGTTAAATAAATCCTTTTGAAATAATGATGATATACAGTCATGCAAACATTCTGGATTAAAAACCTACAAATTAAAAAATGAAAAAGAGGGTATGTTGTCGCTATAAAGCTGCACATCCCCCCTTTATGTCTCCCATGGAATCAAAACAAGGTATAAAGGGACTTTGTCTACTCCAAGCCAAGATGGATAACGTAATGCATAGGTGAACACTGAGTTTTCTTTAAAAAAATTTAAAGATGTTTTTAAAAGCAGTACAAGTGTTTGGAGAAAAAAATTCTCCAGGCATTTGGGATGTTCAATTTATTGTGCAACATCTTTCAAGACTGGCTGGACTGAAGTAGAATCATCTTGGCTGGTAGCTAAACAAGTCCATGTCGATTTTTCTTGTCTTTCTAAATGCTCAGCTGTTAGGGATTTAATCCACAGAAACACTATCTTGGCAGCACATTGTTCACATGTGTCTCTTCTTTTGATCATAACCATTCCTATTTTCTCACCTTTGCAAGTGCCTTAATGCAATCTTCAGCCTACTCTTCAAGTATTACTGTTCATTCTCTGCTGGTGTGTGGTATGTGACTGTTTCTAGTTCATTTAACCTCTTTTATAGAGAAACATGTTTGCACTCAAGCTGATAGCAATGAAATGATTGCAGCAAATGTCTGAGCATCCAGAGTGGGCCAATTTAATGATGGCAGCAAGGAAGCAATTGCAGTGGCTAATAGATTTTAATCCTCACACCAAATGAGGAGCATGAGCATGCCTCTGATGGACCGTGAGGAAGGGCAGAGGGGCAGAGCAGTTGCACCCTGAGCCAGACAATTCAAGTCCTGTTGTAACCACTAATTAATCACATAACAGATACTGTGCTGTACTTATGCTATGTGTCTTAATAGAAGTCTATTTGCTATTTCTATGAAACTAGAATAAATGTGTCCTTTTGCTCATTAATCCATTATAGATTGACTGTGAGAGCAGAATGTCCAATGCATTTAGAAGACTTTCCTATGGATGCACATGCTTGCCCCTTGAAATTTGGAAGCTGTAAGTTTATTTTAAATGGAGGTTTCTCCCATTTTTAGGCATTTTTAGGCCACTTTAAAAGTGTATTTTGCAACCTAGAAAACCTCAAGGTTTTAATCCTGTGTATTTTTCACGTTTTTGTCAGGGTTGTATCTTTATTATATATATATATATATAATATTATATAATGGACCTCATTTATGTATCTTAAATATCCTACAATGTGATGCCTGGAGATTAACCAAAGATGAAAATGACAGTGTTCTAAATATCTAGAAAGGTAGTTTGTCACATATTAAATGTTGTTAATCTTCTTGATTTGTTTTGTCAAAACCCAATATCAGTCCTAAAGAAAAGCAATGCATGCTATGGATAACTGAACTGGTTTAGGTGAAAACAGTTTTGCTACTGCAGTCTTGGTATGTTTAGATCAACATTTTTCCTAGCATTAGCAGATACTCATATACACTCATGGAACATTTTTGGAAGTGAAAAATCTCAGAAATCTCCAAATAGAGTCCTACACTTGCAGCATACATAGCCCTAGATGAGAGAACATACTGAACAAAGTCATTGAAATAAAATTGAAATCAGAATAATTGAAATCAGTTCAATCACTGACAAAGCTTTTGATAAGTTGAGAATTTTCTCCAAAACTTCCGTGTGAATAGCAACCAGCCTGACACTGAACTAAACTTAGTATTTTTGGAAATAAAACATTGAGAAAAAAAATGACGATCTAATTTAGTCTAGTTTGTTTAACACAAACAAGGAAGTTAAAATATATGGAAGATGCAATAGTGTACAAATTGTTTCCTCAATGGCTACTTTTTTCTAACAGAGTAATGAGTCGTTTCACTGATAATGGTTACTTAGTGGCTTGATCAATTTTAGAAGTCAACAAAGAGAAAACCCAATTCATTGTTCACATGGTACCCGACAGGGTGATCATTTACTTTGGGCTGAATAGCTCTATGTTTGCAGTGAGACAGCACTGATGTTTTGTCTTTAAAGAGCTGCTGATCTCCTAGATAAGGCTTAGAGAACAAAAAACTCATACAACCTTGGAGTATAACTGACAAGAATAGTTTGCTCCTTGAATCTTAAGTTTTCTTAGAGAGCACTGAAAATTAATCTTTGCCAATATCTCCTGAAAGAGCGCGGAGTGGAGGGAAGCTTTACTCCAGTTTGTAGCAGGGCAGATACTGCAGGGGGTTCTTGATTAATAAGAGATCTGTGCACCCAAGATCCCAGCGAGAGCAGGAGTGGCTGCAGGATGGAATTTCTTTTGATGTGCTCACTAAAGTGTCCCTGCAGGCATCGTGCAGGAGCTGCGAGGCAGGGGGATGGCTGATCCTGCAACAAACCTGCTAATGACAATTTAAACCAGGAACAGTTTCCGAAGGAATTTGATTTACTAGACTGAATTTCATAAACACGACAAACACCTATCAGCACACCTGTGCATCACTGAACCATAGCCCAAACACCAGACCTTCCCTAGTATGAACAATATTTCCCATTCTTTTCCTACACTGAGTTCTTTCTGGCTCCGTGTCCCAGATTAATGTACTCTTCATTCACACAGTGCACAGCTTTCCAGACTACTGAGGACATTTCCTGAGTTAAATGACTAAGATTTGCAGAAATTATTAAATAAAAGGGACAGATAATGTGGATTTGCATAAAAGTCCAGAACCACACCAGAAGACAGGAACAAGACAGCAGAAAAACATGCAAGTGTACCTGCATCTTTTGTATCTAAATTGATATTTTTATCCTTAAAAACTTATTTTCATAATATAACTTTTTAATTTTCTTAATTGAACAAAAAAAAATCACAGCTATTTCTGATAAAAAGACCATTTCTTATACCACTCAAGGGCAATAACTGACATTCTAAACTCAGAGTACAGCCGTGGACTCTCATGTTTTACAGGTTTTTGTTTTATTTTGTTTTTGTTTTTTTTTTATGTGAACACTAGTATTCTATGGCAGCTCTCCTAAAAAACAAGTAACTACAAATGCTTGGAAAGATCATTAGACAAATCAGGGAGTACTCAAGGCAACTTTTCATTCACCCACTAAATTCAGGAGAGCTCCTAATTTGGGATCCTCATGGAGCGGAGTTCCTTCTGTAACATGGTTTTACTGCAAACACTGCATGAAGAACTCACTGTTGGAAACAGTCCTTAAAGCTGGATCTCCCCCTTCCTTCTCATCAGATCATATGCCATCATTATCAAGTTATAGAATATTTCTCTCAATATTTCATTCTTGATACAAATAGAAATATCTCGAAGAGGACAAATGGTTGGACCCAAGCAAGTTATGAAAGACGGACTCACTGTTACGCATAAAAAAAGAACAGATCTTGTAATTAATTTCCACTTTTTAAGTGAGAATCATATTTAAATACATTTGGGACATTTTTGTCAAACTAAAGCAATTAATTATAATCATCTTAATGGACTGGAAAATTTACTGGGAATGAATTTAATTGTCACAAAATCCATGCTTAAAGTGCAGACTACAATCTAACACTTAGCTCCCCCAGGTAGTGTTTGCCTAGCTCCATTTGTTTTAGATTAAATTGGATAAAAGGTTTTTTATGTCCTCCATTGCTACTCATCACTTCTTGGAGCTGGATTCCTAAAAGCCTCACAATGAAGGAGTTGCACATCTCCTGTGGACTCTGTCCATACTGTAGGGACCAATAAATGTTTGACCCAGCTCCAAGGCTAAAGTGATTTGCCAAAGAGCAGCTTAAGCTAGAGGTTATTCCAGTGTAAATTCAATGTGACAAATGCAAAAGAAGTTCTGGAACAACAAAATGCCATATGTTGGCAAAACAAAATCAGAAAGGCAGATGCTCTCCTCAACTCTTACCACAAACATCTGATTGTCAGTTTAGAACTGAGGCCACTCTGGAAACCAGCAGTGACGGGAGCAGATGGCTGCGTTGCTGTTTATGCAACATGAATTGGAAGCTGAGGGGGGCAGCAGAATTGAGCACCAAGTCTGGCAGCTCAATTCTAGCTCTACCCAGTGCAGCCCCTTCCCTCTAAACCAATCCAGTCATTCTCAGTAGCTCAGAAAAGCACTCCCCTCTCTTCCAAGCTATTCTCATATTCCAGAACAAATGCTTGAAAATTAATTTTATTACTGTCTTTATGTGACTAGGTTAGCAAGTCAATTTCTGTGTTTACTCTGGCCGTTATTTTTAAAGTCAGAATTATTAAGACATGGATTTGCTTTTGCCATTGACTCCAAAAACATATTCCAAGATACATGACAGTGCTTAGGGAATATGAAGCCCAAAGATAAAAGCACCCTTCAGCTTCAAGAATGCAGAATCAAATGCCATGCAATTCATTTACCAGCACATTCTACCCAACCAACTCTTCAATTACTAGCTCTTATCTCTCACACTGATATGGTAAAATTGCTAACTCACAAATGAGGTCAAGTGAATCAGATTCCTCCCTTTCCCTTCCTGCTTGTCAATCTGAAAAAAGGAAAATTCTCATCTTGTAGGTAGAGTCCTTCTGTTATTTTGGATGCCCTGAGATGTCCCATCGTGCTCCAGCTGCCTTTGGTGGGTGCAGGCTTGATGCAGATTCTGGCCACACATTCATTCCCATTCACGCCTTGGGTACTTTTTAGGTGCAAAGAGTTACATGAGTTGTCTCTGTGTAGCCAATTAACTCCCACCCAACTGCTTCGAGGGAGAGCTGCCAGATTGCAGACCCCACAAAATGACAGCAGAATTTTACTGTGGAATTAGAATTAAAAATATTTATGTGTAGCTTGATTCTGGAAAGAACATAAATAACAGCACAAAACCCTCAATGGCATGTGTAGATGCTACTGAATTCTGTGTGTAACACACCAGACTGCTTGGGCTTGAAGAGCCCACAGCACTTTTCTTTTGTCTTGATCAAATCTTGAGTGTGAGGACTATTCAGAAATAACCAAAGCCAAAACAAAAAAATAGACTAATTGTGGTTTAAAGTTACTTTCTCCTAGGCAGCCTCAGAAGTGTCTGCTAGGCCCGTTTTGCAGTAAGGACTGTGTGATGGGGCATGACCAAACGGGAGCTGTAGCCAGGCTGAGGATGAGAGGATCACTGCAGCCACTCTGAGAAGGATTTACAGAGTGGCCAAACAACATCACACTATGAAAAATTGAAAAGTTTGGGGCTTGTCTTTCTTTACAATAGCTAGAAGTTAGGAAAAGCATTGGGGTTCTTGCATGCTCATGAAATTCCACTTCTCACTCTCACTTATTACACAGGCAGGAAATATATAAGAAAGAAATATATTCATACCACAGAGGACCAACCTTAATCCAGCCCTACAGCAGATATTTAGCTATTTTGTAAAAATCAATTTTACTTCCTATAGATAAATTCCAGTAAGATAGTTGTGGGTTTCTACAGATAATTAAAGAGAATTAAATATTCAAACTACTGCTCAAAACATTGTTCTGACAAAGCCGTAAGGCAACAGAAAGTGCAAAGCTTAAATGCAATGTATTTCTTTCAAATTAGATGCTTATACCAGAGCAGAGGTCGTGTATGAGTGGACACGGGAACCAGCAAGGTCAGTGGTGGTGGCTGAAGACGGCTCTCGACTGAACCAGTACGATCTGCTTGGACAAACTGTGGACTCTGGAATTGTGCAGTCCAGTACAGGTCTGTGACAAATACTCTGGAAGGGTGATATTTAACTGTCAAAACATAATTCAGAGCAGGATTAAAGAATACAAAGACATAAGATTGAGGGGTAAATGATAACATATACTTCAGAATGACTCTGGAAAGATAATACATCCTGGGATTATTTTCCTACTTCAGTTGGTGGTAAAAATATTTGAACAATTAAAAAGCTTCCTACAGTGTCAGATCTAGCCAGAAAAAACAATAATCTATGTAATAAAGAGGCACTCCTTTTGTTCTTCTCATATTATTTGCTTACTATATAGGCTGATAAAAATAGCATAACAATATGAATCCTCAAAGATCATATTTCTGGAGGCAGTGAAATTGCTAAAAGCATATAGTACATAGTTTCTCAAGGAAGTATTTAGAGAATGAAAGAAACTGTCATCAAACTCAAAACCATCTGAAACATCCAAATACAATTTCCTTTAATGCTGACACCAGCTTTAACTCAAAAAATTTAATGAGCTACAGAAATACAGCTGACATTTATAGTATGACATACCTGTAACCTTGAAGCTGGCTACAGCCCTTTATTTTTTAACTTTGCAGTGCTTGTTTCAAGATGTAAATTTTTTAAAGTTTATTTTCTAATAATTTGGATGATCTAAATGCAGTAAGAATCTGAGCACTGGGCATGAACAAGAGCTCAGGTGACCAGATTGACTGGCCAGTGGACCAAAGGCAGCCCTGCTTCAGGGGAAGTGGTTGCACTGCTCTGGGTACACCCAACATTGTGACTTAGAGAGAAGTCCACTCATAACTGCGTAAACCAAATTTCCTGATGTGTTGCTGTTAAAGCCAATGAACTTTTAAGAGAAAGTGAGTCAACTTAAGGTGAACTGGAATTTGTATCTGAATTTTTTATTTAGCTTGTTAAAATGTATTCATATGCTCTATTAAGCCAAGAAAAGCTCTCACAGACAAGTTTCTGGGTTACTGCTTGGAAGCTTCTGTTCAGTTGATATCAGAGTAAGTGGGATGGCAATAATAGGAACTTCGCATGAGAACAGCATCAACACAACTGCTCCCATTGCTGAGCACAGAGGTGTGCAACAAGCAGGTGAAAAGGGGAGAGCTCTTGACCTTCCCACAGATGGAAATGTTGCCATTGGCTTTTCTGCAGCACTAATTCACCCCACCTGCCCTTTGCTGGAAAGTCAGCAGGATTTGAGGGGAACTGCAGGGATCTCAGCTCTTGGCTCTCTCAGAGAGACCCTGCCAGCCTGTGGGGCTGCCCTTGCTCCTGCTTGCTGCATGTGCTCCAAGGGCAGCAGGATATCAGAAAACACTCAAGAGGGAGCATAAGTCAACCAAATGGAAATGCCAAACATGGTTCAGGGCAATTAGATAGCAATGTGAGGGGCATGCTATAAACTGTTAAGAAGGGCAGACAAGAAATTTTCAAACAGAACTGAAACATAAGTTTAAGATTTCTTCATACATTTCCATGAGTAAACAAACAATTTGTTTTGCCCATGCTATTTCAAAGATGTGAATTCTGCCTCCTTTTTCTACCTGAGGAAAATTCTTTACCATTGCTATCTATAAAGTTAAACACAGTATAGTTAATACCTAAAGTATGCTGAGATGAAGATATTGTTGTCTAGATGCTGAAAAACAGTACAAAGAACTAAATGGAATAGTTACCAAAACTAAAAACAATCCAATTTCAGAATCTTTTTAGTATTTGCAAATTTACAATCCTCTCTAATTACTACCTGATAAGTGTTGCAGCAATTCAGGCTGCAAAAGATAAGAATACACAGTTGAGGAAGAAACATATTTATTGCTTGCAAATTCAGCATCTCAAAGGAAAATCCTTCATTATTTGCTTTGGAAAGAAAAATGCTTTGCTTTCCCCATACTAAAGGTGAGGATCAGAAGTGGTTAATAATCCCTTTTCTCCAGCCACAATTCATATTCACTCAGAAAGATTTTAAAATTATCCTTTCTGTAACCACCTTAAAAAACGCTTAAAGGGCTTGTGCAAGTTTCTATTTATATAGAATTACTTTGGCAACTTGAAAACATTGCTTTACACTGAGAATCACCAGGATTTATATTCAAAACACTTATTTTTTTTCTTATCTCTGTAAATCTGCAGAGATGATGGTGTTCTTAATAGTTTTTCTGACTGAGTTACATGGCATAAATAGTAAATGACAAATACTTTGTTTTAAATTAACGGCCAGGAAAGCTTTACTTCTTTACCTACAGTAATAGAAGAATTGTTACAGCTCAGACTCAGCCCACACCTCAAACTTCATGTCTGATGTGATGCACATTAACTTCAGGTGCTGATAAATCTGTTATTTTACAAATCATTTATAGAACACTGAGAAATAGCTTTAATGTAACTTTACTGAATTATCAACTACTTTCTTCTATGGGCACAGATTCGTTTATACCACCTGCACATTTTGGCTTAATTACTGCAATATTAAGGGCTGATTAAAAACTGCACCTATGAAAGCACTGAAAACAGGCACAAGTTCTTCCAGACCTACTGGAAATATTCCAGCATGGAATGTCATTCAGAAATAAAATTTATATATATGCAGAATTTTTTGATGACTTTTAAATGCTTCATATTGTGTTTTGCATATAACCTAATTTAAACATTGGAATAAATAAAATGAAAACCAGATTTATCTGCACAACACAGTTATTTGTAGAAGACTTCAGGAATTACAATTTAGCGAAGAAGAAATGCCTTTCTTTCTAACTTCCTTGGATAAGAAAAGATAAGAGATAAGAGAATATAAGATGTATAAGCTACACCTTGTGAAAGCCTAGCAATCAGACACTGTGAATATAGGCAATATTTTGGTCAAGAGCTATTTGAAATCCTAGGTTGTAAGGAATTTTATGACTGCATTGCAATGCTTTCAAAATAGAATCCCAGAGGAATTGGAAAGTTATGAGAGTGATCAGCAGCTGTCACAAATGTGATGACACTGTTCAATTAAAGAAAGACAGAAAATATGGAAAGCCAAGGATGCAGTGAATAACTGGAATGCTTTCATGTCCTGAAGTCAGCTCAATCAATCTTATCAAACATCCAATATCTTTTAGTAGATGAGTGCAGTCCATTGGTGCTGTGGAAACTTCAGAACGTGGCTGTGCCTTGTAGCTGAAGTGCAGAGCATTACTGCAGGCCTGCCCTGCCCTGCTCACTCCTCCCAGCACTGCCTTTATCTCAGACCTGCTGCAGTGCTTAACAGATGAGAGCAATCCCTGTCTTTTTAATTGCCTTTAGGCTTTGGATCTTGTTCTCATTTTCCAGAGGTTAAAAATACTTTGATAATTTAGGCAGCTAAATAAAGCATCAGAGTACAGTGGTGTGTTCACTCTGTATTCTTAGCTTGCCATCTACAATCAGTGAATTAATTCTGACACACCGTTGTGTGCACTCTATATCTGATTGCATTAAAATAGTTTCCCACGTCATATTTTAAGGAGATAAAATTAAATTATTGGCTCTCCTAGCCAAGACTGGCACCTTTTTTAAGATCATAATCTCTGGTACAGAGGAGAAGGAGCTTGTTTCAGTGAAAGTTAAAGAAAGGTGAGCAAAATTTAAGCAATAATTCCCACTATACTACAGCCATTCCTATTTTTGAAATAATAAAAAAAATCCTTGTATATCCTTTGTTTTACCATTCAATTTAAAATTTATTATCTTTTCCCCTTTGCTGCTGTCTTTTATATTGAAAGAGTATCATCATATGTTATAAAGAAACTTTCCTTGGGGTTAGAAATTGAGCAAGATTGCTCAAATGGATGTTCTTCTGGACTCTGCATTACAGAAATGGGCATTTGACATGCTCTGTGCATAAGCAGTCAATGTCTAGACATAGTTTTTCAATCAAGTTTAAGCTTTTCTTGTACAAGAGCAGTTTTCTCTTTCCATCTGCCTACATTTTAAAATAGAACTACAGTAATTTCACATGTCATCTCTAATCTAGACAGAAGTTTCCACTCAGTTACGTATCTACTTGTTTCATTCCTCAGACATTCATTGCATAATAAGAAGAATCAGTCTACTAAAAAAACCCCCATATATATAAAATAAAACAAAATAAAAACAATAGGTTTCTCAGTGTTATATTGGAGAATATACTGTTTGCCAAAATCCATTTTAAATTATATAATGATCTGAAAATGAGCAATATTTGCTCTGCTGGCAAGAAAGTTTTATGGCATGAGGTAAGCATATTAGAATATTAGATATATTTACATTTATTATTGAAAGTATAAATTTATATATAAAAAAACAATTAATTTTCATTGCATTTGGAGTACGCACCTCATACAACTTCGTAGCTCCAAAAGCATTAGGGCTAATGAAAATATTGTGCTATTCTTGTAGTAATCATTTCAGGAGAGAATAATAATTTACTAAGGTCCTAAATTAGCAGACAAGAGACCCTTCAGAGTACATAAAGCACCAACAGTGGTAATGCAAATACCATCACATCAGCAATTACATCTTAAGCTTGGCCCAACAGAAACACTTTTGGGAGGTTTTCTTGATTGAGTCTTTAGATTATGTTTACATGGTTATGCTGTGGTGGCTTTCCATCTTCTAATGGAATAAGACCTCCTAAAAGAGCTTTAAACAGCCACCAGTTAATGAAGACTTTCATTCACTACTCAGCCGAGAAAATATGTAAATTTAATAAGCATTTCCCAGAAATGTCTAGTTTTGTATTATTAAGGAAAAATTTTACAACCCACCAGGTTTATGAAATGTTTTCTTCAAAGCTGACCCATTTTGATTGGAGGACTTCTATTTTCTAATAGGGGTGAATGTAATGAAAAATACTTCCTACAAAGACCTCTGACGTGTATATTTATAAAAGCTTTAATGTTCTTTTTTCTTGGTTTTAGGGGAATATGTTGTTATGACTACACATTTTCATTTGAAGAGGAAGATTGGTTACTTTGTCATCCAGACTTATCTGCCATGCATCATGACAGTGATACTGTCACAGGTGTCCTTCTGGCTTAACAGAGAATCTGTTCCAGCAAGAACTGTATTTGGTAAGCAAGACCTACAAACCTCCTGGCAATCATGAGGCAATTGGGTTTCAGAAATGTTATTGTAAGTGTAGTTATTGTAACATGGTATTGGAGAACAGTGTGAGCCTGGACATGTTGCACACACAAGAGCTAACAAAATTCATTGTGAAGATATAGGTCCAAAGCTTTTAAACTGATTTGGAACTGACTGCAAAAAGAGACCTGAAAATACCTCAAGCCATCCATTACCATTTAATATTCCAAAACAATCAGATTATGAATAAAACATCTCTGACAATGGCAATAACGTTAATCATGGGATTATCAAAAAGGCTTTAATCAATGGGTATCTGTCACTTGACATCTTTAGGCCCTCGGAAAATTCTTATTTTAATTTTTTTTCCTTAATACCTTTTACAGGCTACTGTTATATCAGCCACAACTTATCGTGCTTACAGCAGTGAATACGTGCACTCAGGGAATGCAGTGAGCAGGCAATATAAAAGATCCTCCAGTTTATACAGCTGGTCCCTACAATTTAACTACTGCTTGCAAATGCTTATCTTAAAACTTGTATATTCTTTCATATTCTTTGGTGATATTAACCCAAGTCAAGTACATATTAAAAAAAAAAATAAAAAGAAAAAAGGCAATGAATTTTCATTTAGGAAAGCTAGAGCCTGAGATTTCTGCTACATGACCTGGTCTTGGTGATATCCAGATGGGACTGCTGAACACCTTTGGCAGGAGGTGGAAGCATCCCCAGCCAAGCTGGCTTTGACACTCGCTTTGCTGCCTCAGGGCACTGCAAGGACAGGATGCTTTGGGCCCTCTGGCTTTGCCAAAGAAAATTAACCCATTTATTCTGAACATGGCAAAGCCAGAGAGTCACTGTTGAGAAATGCAGCCTCTGAAGCTCATGTTGAACAAGAGCTATTTTTATGGGTCTTTTCTTGCACCATTCACAGCTGTGCTTTAGTTTCTCAGTTTCTCTGAAAATCAATCACAACTTGCACAGCCTTAGACCTCAGGAACCAAGCAGGTTTTCTGTTGTTCTGTTGATAGACAGATGTGCATTGACAGAACAGTGTTTTAGACTACAGTATAATTAAATTTGATTTACATAATATTGCTTAGATTAGCGACTAAAATTAATCCTGAATTTTTAACATCAGTTTTGCTGAGAACTACAATACTAGAGAGTTTTATAGTCAAATCCATTGAAATTGTAACTATTTTACCTCTTTTTGCACATACCATTTAAAAAGAAATGTCTGATCATCAGTTTGAAATGCTGTACTTCACAGTCATTAGATGGAGAACAGAATTTCCTAGTCTCAATGGATAATGTATAATACTGCCCAATTTTCAAACTGCTATCTTCACAGGCTCAAGAACCCACAAATTTCTCAGTTTTCGTTTTAGAAGACAGTTATTTAGTAAATAACTCTTGGGTTTGCTCCATCATTATGTATCAAGATAGCTTTTTCATTTCAAAATGGCAGTGAAACAACATTTTGCATGAATTCATTTACACACCGAAGCACAACATTGATCTTTTAGCCCACTCAGTACCACAGATAATAAAAGTTATAAACCTTTCTTCTGCTACTATGTAAGACAAACATAAGGTCACTAGTAATAAGTCATAGAACACATTTGGTTGCATCTCAAGAAAATGAAATTGTTTCCTCATTAGGCACTAACAACTCAAGCTCTTCACACTACCATATAAATATGTTGTTCATTAATTGACCTATTTTAGAGCACTGCTCATTTCCACTAACACTCAGTGCAGCAAAGATGAACTCGAGACACATTCGAGACATGACAGTGCAGTTGTCAAGGTAACTTGTGGACATGTGATTTGATGTAAATGCCTTGCGTACGCTCCGAGATTCATTTTCCAAGCAGCTGCAAGCAGAGTGAATTCAGTACAGTCCTGCTTGCTCTCTGGGGCCAGGTGAGAGGAAAGGTTCGGCAATGAGAAGCTCTGATATCAGAAATGCAAATTACATTGTCATTCTTACATAAAATCTTTGCTGTGTTCAGGGTGTCAGTGAATAAAGGGACAGAAATCTGTAAAACCATTGATTCAAAAAAAATGAAAGAACACATAAGTCTTGGTGCCCTTGAAAATATCTTTGAAGTATAATATCCCAAATAAGCTGAAACAAGTTTTTTTTTGTTTTCTAAGTATCTCAGAACTGCTGCAAGAAAGAACTAAAGATATTAAACTGTTACATCTGTAGTATAATTTGCAGTGCATGAATAAAGAACTGCAACAAAATCCCTCAAATACCAGGAAGAGTAAAGTAATTCACAAATTATACTTCCCTTCCACCTTTAAAAAGAGTATTCTATTATAACAACATCAAAGAATAAAAGCATAAAAAATGTTTTGAAAATCCTGCAACTTCCACAGAAGTGGAAACCTGATATCATATAGAAACTGAGCTCAGGTGGGGAAGTTTGTAACAACCAGGGGTGTAGAAAAGGCTTTACCACCTCTAGCAGCTGGGAAATGAAGCACAAAAAATGGCCTGAAGACACAAACTCTGCTTTGCAGGCGTGACAACTGTGCTGACCATGACTACCCTGAGCATCAGCGCGAGGAACTCGCTGCCCAAGGTGGCCTACGCCACGGCCATGGACTGGTTCATCGCCGTCTGCTACGCCTTCGTCTTCTCGGCGCTCATCGAGTTCGCCACCGTCAACTACTTCACCAAGAGAGGCTACGCCTGGGACGGCAAGAGCGTCGTCCCAGAAAAGGTAACACCTCCCCACACCCAGCCCAAAAGATCACACTCTGCCACCCCTGGTCCTGTGACACGGGGTTTAGCACATTAAAACTCTTACTATGTACAACAATTACTCCAGAAGAGTTTACTCCTGTGTCTACGTACAGCATTTCCATACCATGATTACATTTAATACCTAAATACTGCTTCTGACATACTGAGTTATTAATAATGAAATATTCTACTGAGATTTTGACTTCAGGCATTGAGCAGAAAAAAAGATCAACGTGTATTATTTTAAGGGAAGGAAATTATTTTTTTCTGTTTGAACAAGAGAAATTGTGGATGCCTCAGTGTAAATGTAAGAAAACAAAATTGTGGCTGCAGTTTTTGACAGTTCCCAAGGTATAGTGCTCCCCAGCACAAAATTCAGAAGGGCTGCTCTATCATCATGACCAAATCAATCACCACAGGAGTTCTTTTTCCCTTTCTTAGCTATAGGAAAAATGTGTTTACTTAGAAGGAGGAATTGAGAGCTATGCTGGGAGTGTGCAATCCTGATCTGTACCTCCATGAATACACCAGAGAAAACTCCCATTAATTCCTTTAGGACTGGGATCAGACCTGGTCTGTAAACCACAGGTGCATCAAGAAACTATTGAGGATATTTAGGGGATGAAAGAGAAGTTTGCTGTTTCCTATGAGTTACCATGTCAGCTGCTCCTGTGAGCAAGCTCATTCAGATGGGTTAACTTCCCCAGCTGGTAATCATGAACACTCATAGACTAGAGATCCAACAGAGCAGGTATTTGGAGCAGCAAATGTAACTCACTGGTATGCAAAGACATGTTTTTAATTCAGGATTATATGCATACATATTATGTATATTAGTTGTGTAAGTCAGTGAAAAAAACCCTCCAAATTAAATTTGGCATTTATACAATACTACAAAAGTATTGTAGAACAAATGAGTGAAATATCAAAACAAACTTACAGTAATGAGTTACACAACTGCTGCTGAATGTTGAGTTTTCAGTTATTGATGATATTTTCACTGAAAAGAATTTTTTTTATTCTTTTTGTGTTTTCATGACATTTGTTATAAAAATGAACTGCACTGATAGAATTGTACCTTAAGTATTAAATATTGCCTTGCTAATTTATCCTCCCTTGTAATGTAGTTACTATAATAAGCTGTTTCATTTGTTACCAAGAAAATTACATTCTAAAAAAAACCCCTACACAATACCCACCACAATAAACATAGTTTAAAACACTGGAAGATTTATGGCTTTGTGCTTGTTAGCAGGTAAGGGCTTTATGTGCCATTTGCTGGTACCTGTGAGTTTTCTGCAGTGAGGAAAAGCAAGCAAGGCAAGCTCACGATGATCACAGCTTAATCAAATTTAGAGCTCTAATTAGCTGTCATATTGCTTGTTCATGAAGTCGAATTTGACATGAAATATTAAGACCCAGGCTGGTGTCAGGGTTTTCTCTGGATCAGATTTCTAGTGACATTTAAATCTATTGAAAGGGTTTCCCTTGAGACTTCAGTGAAGCTTCTCTTTGTCTGCTGGATTTATTGCTGCTTACCAGAGTATCTGAATGAGCAGCAAACAGGACTGCCTTTGCACTCAGCAGCCATGTTAGCAGCCTCCCTGCCTGGGAGGGGAAAGAATGGACAGCCTAAAAACAACAACAAAAAAACCCAAACAACCCAAAATAAACAAAAAACCCCAAAAAGCCAAACAAAACAACAAAAACAAAATAAAACCTGACATGCTTTTTTTGCTGGAATATTTTTTAACCTGTTTGTTCCGAAGATTTGAAGCTTTTTCTTGGTCTGAAGCTAAGAATTTTATTGCCATGAATTAAAGAATATCTACATCAGAGTCATTAGGTGAACACCTTTCCTTATTAAGTAGCATGATGTTACCATTTGAGCCTACATTTCCTTCCAGCATGGGGCTCCAAAGCTGTTCCTCCATGAGCCTCTCCCCGCTTGCCCTCAGGCTTCTGCAGCTTCATTTCCTCTTCCCATGTGGCCAGCAGGAGTCTGTCCACTCCCTGAAATGTTCACCTCTTGAACAAGAATTTTTTATCAAAACTCCATTATTATGGGGTCAAAATAGCCATTAACCTATAGTTGATCTGTCATTAAAAGTACTGTGGCCACATAAAAGTATTGCCTCCCTGGGACAGCTGCTTCTTGAAAACAGAAAATTGTGTTTGCTGTCTCGTGAAATGACATAACACGTCAAACTCCACTGATATTTTCCCTTCAACCATATCTTCCCCTCATCTCAAAATGGATAACATTTGCCTTTTCTTTTCCTGAAAATTTTGCTAAGCTGTTGGAGTTGTTTTTTTCCCCTCATAATTGGAGGAATCCTTACACCTTCTTAATAACCCACTACATCTCTGCTGTGTTTATCATTGGGCAGTGGCTGAATAACAGGTTTGGTCTGCCAGAAACTGGACACTTGAATCTTAACTGGTATGCCCAGATGTCAAAATTTATTTTTTTCCTACAACTAGATCCCAAAAATAGAATATTAGAAAATATAAGGATCTAGGTATAAAATAAGTTTAAATAAGCTCAATAAGTCCTCCTCCCCTAAAAGATATTCAATATATTCTTGTTTGAGCAATATAAGTAGGTGGATGAACAAGTCACACAGACATTAAAGTCTTCACATATGGAATGCCATTTGAGCCATTATGCTCCAATTTTAAGATTCAAATAAGAACATTAAGTTCCTAATCCATAATTCATGTGCCTCTGGTGTAAACCATTAGTGAGCAGAATACTGACAGCTTTGCATCTTACTGAGTAAACCACTCCTTTAGTGCATGGTTACATGATAATTTAGTGTGTATTTCTGTGCATAAATTATGTAAAAACTCTTCATATCACAATATTTGTGTTAATGTTGGAAGGCTACATTAAGAATTTGGCATCTGTAAGTTTCTATCCTGATTAAGGGAAACAGTTTGTGAGACTATTGAGCTGTGAGTGCTTTGTCACTGCTGATTATCATTAAAGGTAATTTTGCCAATGAGCCTAGCTATCAGGTCTCATTTTTATTGATCACCTAATTTGGTTTACCAAATACAAGTAATACAAATGGATGATTTTGTATTTATTGTCACCTAAATATTTTGCATGAGTTACACACCCAGAACTAACTTCTCTCTTATAGCTTATTACACTTTATGGTATGAATTGGATTAACTGCAAAATGTTACAGTGCTTTTTCATAATTTCATCTGTTGAGAAGGGTACTGAGAATGAAATATTTTCTTCTTTCTTCAGCCAAAGAAAGTGAAGGATCCTCTCATCAAGAAAAACAACACCTACACAGCTGCAGCTACCAGCTACACCCCTAATATTGCAAGGGACCCTGGGCTGGCAACCATTGCTAAAAGTGCAACAATTGAGCCCAAAGAAGTGAAGCCAGAAACAAAACCTGCAGAGCCCAAGAAAACTTTTAACAGCGTCAGTAAAATTGATCGGCTATCAAGAATAGCCTTCCCTCTGCTTTTTGGAATCTTTAACCTGGTCTACTGGGCTACCTATTTAAACAGGGAGCCCCAGCTAAAGGTTCAAACTCCACATCAATAACCTCACTTATTCATATAGTTCTGTTTTGTCTTTTGCTCTGGGAATTGCTTCCCTTTTTCACATACAGTAATTCCCATTTGCTTCATTGCCTCGGTCTTAAAGAAAATAAAGGTTTCTTTAGTTAGCAAAAGGTAAAATATATCTGTATATTTAAAAAAAAACAGTGTGTGAGCGAGAGAACATTATAAACTATATACTTTGGAAAAGAGATTTTGGAAATGGAAAAGAGTTGTAGAGTAATGGGAGGGTGGAAAAAAAAAAAAAAGAAACCATTTGTAGCAAGCTTAGTACTGAATATCCCCAAAATATAGTGTATATGTACATGAAAAAGATATTTTTATTCAGAAGACTGTAGGGATGGGGGAAATAGTCTTTATGACATTCCTGATGCACATCTTAGACTGTATCATTTACTCAGCCACTGTTTATAATCTTTTCAAGGATGTAAAGCTTTCCATTTGCTGAATCCCATAAGATATATTATTTTCCTAATCCCTTTTCTCTTCTATGTTCCAAACTACCTGACTTATAATATTAAATAGTCTTTAATGAGAAAGGAAATCTACTCACTCTAGGTACAGTTTGTCACTGTATAGCACATAAGATCTAATGGTAACAAATGCTTTAATCTGCTCTCTTACTGCAAGCTTGTTCCAAGCATTAAGTTGTCACTAGACTAGATTTAAAACCAGTTGCACAACCAAGTGCAGATCCCAAATTTCTACTATCACATGTGTAATCCAAAAGATTCCTGGATGCTTTAAAGATAGCTTTTACTCATCACTATGTTTTAGAGAGAAAAAACAAAAAAGCAAACAAAATTTTTGCAAGTTCTAGATATGTTGAATGTATTCTTTTATAAAATGATACATTAAAAGAAGCTTTAGATTGAGATTTATGAATAGCAGAAAGATAAAATATAGTATTTAAATAATATCTGTAAATATGCAGCATGAGATTGTACATTTTTTTACTTTTTTAAAGTTGTGTTCTTAAAACATTGTGTAGGATTCACCTCTTAGCTCTTAATATGTTGTTAAATGCTCAATAAAACATATTTAGAGCCTGAATGAAAGGAGAAAAAAAATTATCAGTGGTATTGGAATGCTTACAAAAATAAATAAGCAGAAAGTGCTTGGAATTTATTCCATTTGTAAAGTGGTTAAGTGTACAGCAGCTTGCAATTTGACAATGTCATCCAATGTATACTATTAGATTAATGACTGGTCTGCTCAGGTCATGCATAAACACTAAAGTATGGGATTATATTTGGTAGGTAAAAATGGTGAGATATTTGTTAAGACAGAAGTTCATCTGTATATTACTGCTATATTTGCTGAAACATAACTGTTACAATAAGCGATGTAATATATGTAGCATTAAATACAAAGAAGTCATACATAAAAGAATGTACAGGAAAATAGATTTTATTGAGTAAACTTACTACATTTCATTTTTACTGTAGCAATATATTTGTAGGAACAATATGTAAGGGCTTTAAATACAAGATGTCCATTTTGCAGGTATTGTGCTCCCTTTAAAAAAAATTCTAGTAAGTATCATTACTGCTAACTCTTAGAAATAAACTTTCAGATAAAGTTTTTTCAAAGAGACTGGAAGAATGGTGGATATTTGCAAGAATCAATTAAAAAATGTAATTTATGTTATTGAATTGATTTTAAAACAGTGCTACATGAGCCTCTAGAGAAACAGCTACTGAGAGTCAAGTTTAATAGGCAGTGATTTCTAAACTCTTAATAAATCAAAAAGTTGACATTCTCTATCTACGAAAGGAAATATTTAATGTTTGATTTAGAGATTTTTTTAAATAATTCTTCATTGTCTAACATTTAGTCCTGTCTGAACTTGATAAGTTATCTGATTGGATTTTATTTAAAAGGGGATGTTTCATCTCTGGTATCATGTGTAGATATATGTATAGAAAAAAATAAACGATGGCTCTTTAACTTCTGTGTACTTGTTTATCTTGTTATTTTTGGCGTTAAACTAGTGTGTTCATTTAGGGCATTTTATCTTTCTAGCAATTCATAGCTACCTTTTGGTCTGCATTTTGCACATTAGATGTGAATATTACTTACCTAGTCTGCTTTTTGCTATGCAATGATTGCATTATACCACCTCTTAGTTAGTCTATGCCAATAGTATTATACTGTATAAACTTGACTGCACAGTTTATCAAAGACAAGGTATTCTCTATGTAGCTTTTTTACAATGCTTTGCTAAACCATGTAATAATAGTAAGTCTTCCTTGAAAATAATGATACACTCTTATAGAGGACAGTTTCTGTTTACTCCTGAGATAATTTTAAAAAGATGACATTGAATGTTTATTGCACCTCAGTGCAGTGATGTGGCAATAAAACCTAAATCTAATAGAGGTTGTTTATGGCAGAAGCATGTATTGCTTTACAGAGTTTAGCAAAAGCTCTTTATTTTATGTCAGACTGTAATTCTATTATAATAATAAAGCTAAAAATGTTCAATAATGCAAGTGAATGTTTTACTTTGGTTTTCTTTAGTTACTGCCTTTTATGACACATTGCTTGATTAGCTACTATTCATTCAAAGCCTTCGTTTCCTTGGATTTGGTAATGAATGCAGTTTTAATAGATGTGATTTTCTGCCCAGTGTTTTCCAGGGACAAATATAACAGGAATGTTTCACAAATCTGATTTGACATTCAGAAAAGATAGCTCACTCTGTACCATGTATATCCAGTAAGGCAATTAATTGCATCAGATGAACAATTGTTAAGGTTTCGTATCACAACATTGACTCATACAAGGTAGGAACAAAATAAAATGCATTTTCTCCCAGATGAAATGGCAGATAAACCAGAGATTGAGAGTAAAAGTATGACTATTTAAGCTAGATATTTAACTGGTTAAATAAACACACAGATCTAAGAAAGACTGTTAGAAAAGAACCTCAGGCTATATAAAATATTTCACTTGTTAAAATAGTTGTAGGGATAGCTTTTAAACAAGCACATGTATACCTTGGAAATTTTAGTTTTCAACTCCTCTTTCTTTCCAAAAGAGAAAAAAGGAGAGAGGAAAAGTCATTCCAGTGCATTCAGCCCCCAAACTCTCTTGGAAATGGTGCTGGAAAGCAAGGCTTGTGGCCTTCATGTACAGACATACAGCTTCAGAGGATCCCAAAGGCTGATTTAAGTGTATATTTGTACATAACAATTTTCATAGTGTTCTCAACCATGAGTCCTACAGAAGCCTTCTTCAAAATGGAAGGAAAGACTGGAAGGACTCAGGTTCTATCAATTTATTTTGCTTTCCTCTATTTTGAATGAGGATAATGCAGTCTGAATCCCTGCTCCTTGCCTCCTACAACTGACTCCACGGAGATGAATCCCTATGAAAACCCACACGGGCTTTTCTGGAAGAGGATGGTAAAGAAAGTGTTTGAACACCCACCTCCTGTGTTCACATGCCAGATGCAGAGCATACATGGGGATTCTCACATCTTGTCACTGCTCAGACATTTTTAGGCAGAATTTTACTCAAGCAAAAATGAGTCAAAATGTCTAGAGGCAACAAGATTTGACTCGGGGCGGGGGGGAATATATATATATATATATATATATATATATATAAACACTATTCAGTTTCACAGTGTGGAAGAACAGCCTCATCAGGTGACAGATTCACAGCCACCAGTCAGTCCAGCATGGCAGCATGGCACCCTGACATGGAAGTTCTGTGTTTGTTCTGATGTTACATCAACAGAAGCTCCTTCATTTTTCCTTGAATCATCCCTAGAAGCTACCGCAGAACTTTCTTAATGATCAAGAACCTTTTTTATACCATCCATGACTTTTCTAATGAAATTCTTTCTCTTGGACTCTAAGACCAGAAAAACCCGATTTTCTTTCCATCTCCTTCTATTTTTCATCAATATAATAAATAATAACAGCTTATGAAACACTCTAATGTCTGGAAAATGGGGCACACATGCTTCAAGGAGCAAGTAATAAGATAACTTCTTTCAGCTTGTGCTTTGTATCTCAATGACTGTCCAAATAAATTAGTAACACTGGGCAAAGTCAAACTTTTTCTTACGGGCTGTAAAAAATATCAGTCATACTTTAAAATCTAAAAATGCTAGATCTCCTCAGACTTTCTATAGCAGATCCACTGAAGAAAAAAATCCTTGTGCTATGCATAAACATGACATAGCTTAAATAAAAACGTGTTTACATTCCTAGCACATGAATTTTGCAAGTGAAGTGTATTATCAGCTTGTCAAGCTGTTGCTGTCACGTTCCATCTGATTCCAAACTACGTCAAATACACAAGAGAGGTAAAAGCCTTGAAAGGACGAGTTTCTATAGGCTCATTTTCTCTGCCAGAGCCCCATCCACACTGGCAGGGTGACTTCACAGACGCCGATAAATTTATTTGATTAAACTGCTTTAAGGCATTTGAAGATGCCCTGAGTGGGTTTTGCAGCACAGCTGTTAGAGGCACCTCACCCAAAGAGTAGAGATCCTTTCCCTCAAAACCTGCAGATCAGCCAATACAGGGCACAGCTTTTCTCAGTGTGCTGTCAAGGGAGCAAAGACGTGTTTGCTGAGCTCCTCCTTCAGCCAAGGACATTTGAATGCAAACAAATACAGTGAATTTCTTTTCAAGTGTCCTTATAATGCAGTATTTGATCAGTTTCAAATCAAGCCTAAGGATCTGAATCAGCCCCGAGATGTTCCATTTGTTTAGCAGTGATTTGCTGTTGGCTCGCCAGCACACTCCCTTTGCTACACTCTTGATTTTACATGTATCAGCTGATTAGCACCAGATCCCTGCAATGCCTCATAGGAAAAAATAATTCAGCTGCCTTAGAATTAATGAAAGCTACTTAAAGACCTCTCATACTTGGAGATCCTGTTCCATTACTTCCCACAGCAGCCGAACCACACTTCAAAGACGTGGTTTGAAAGCTTCTAGGATGGCTCTCCACTGTAGTGATATTTACTGATGTAACAAATTTACTGCAAGGATATGAAAAATTCCAGAAAAAATTAAAGTGAAAAAAATCTTTTATGATTATCTAAAACAAAAAAATAAAACATAGTGAAACTACATTAGAAAGATCATTTTCCTAAATTAAATTCTCTTTTTATGAAATTCTTTATAAAAACAATGAAATGGATTTCAGCTAAGAATCTTTCAAATGAATACACCTTTTGAATTAGA